ATTACCCAAGGGTAGGTATTGCGACCCTTTTTTGGAAAGCCTATTTTTGTATTTATATGATATCGTATTTATTTAACTTTATAATGTGAAGAAGAAAACACTTGTGGCCTTCAACTCGGCATAGATGTATCGACAAGGTATGATCAATTTACTTTAGTTACTTTCATTCATAGGTCGACCCAATATATCCCAGTGAACTTAAAATTAAATATAGCACAGAGTCCGACTCGACATGCTTCATTTTGAAAATAAAATTACTAGAATAAGACGTTAGTGGTAAAAGGACAATAATAGTTTAAAATAAGTGTGATGACTTTAACTTTTCTTTCGTAATCTTCCTTTACTTGTGTAACAATTATACCCTTATCACCTGCATATCCCAAATGATTCGATACACAACAGCATGCTCTACGTAAATCGAGGCAAACTGCTGACAAACAGGACGATGGAACAAGAACATCAACAGTCTCGTTTAGAGTCATCATTTCGCAAGTTCTATGGTCGATACAATAACCTTGTCAGCAAATACCAGGTAGGCTACAATTTAGCATGAAATCTAATGCTGACTGACGTTTTATTTTTTTTTACTTATTGTTCGGCCACTTTTTACACACTGAATTGTCTACGAATTTTTCATTTTCACGATCAAGACAAAGAGCATACGGTGGATCTGATTGGTCGACAAGGGATGCTTACTCCTCCATGGCACCTGGTCCCACTACTGATGTTTTCAGAGGTCCGAGTTTGCTCTGCTCCCTGTTTTGTTTGAGAGGACTTTTGAGACTGCGTACTGTTCGTTATTTCTTGAAGAGCTTTTTTTTTTAATTTCTCAGTTGTGACATTAGTTTCAAGCACATGTGTACTTTAAACTTTTTACCACTAGAATCTTCGAATATCATATATTTTGTAAAATACCTCTTGGATCCTTTTTAATATGTCACTATCAATAGGTTTGTATTTGCTTTAGGTCTGTTGTTAATTTCTTTTCAAAAGTCCCTGGGATTTAGGGTGTCCCACATTTTTATCTTCTGCGATTATGCAATATTATCTCTACATGTAGCACACTTTTGCCAACCTTTTGCTATTCTCGTAGTATAAATACTCTAGGTTGCTCTGTTAAGATTTTCCAACTAAATTCCGTAATGTTTTTTTTTCCTCATATGTATGAGCATTGATCTTATTATTTTTTTGACGGAGTTCACCGTTTCAAAATAGACCTAGTTGTATTTTTTCCTTTTTAAGCATTATGCCATTTATTTCTCCGTGTAGTGTCTTAACGAACTGGTGATACAAGTAATCTTTTTCATGTTCTTAGACTTTTCAAAACGCTTCCAATGTTGATTACTGGTAAAAGTATAACTGGGAACTCTCTTCGAACATCCTTTTGCCTATTTGATCACTCAATTTGTTGTTGTTTTTATTTATCAAGAAAACATCATATCAATGTATTCAGGATTACACGTATTCAGTAATTTCCCAGTGAGTAAAGTCAAAACTGAGTGAATTTGGATAATGAATCCTACTTCAGGTTGATTTGATACTTACATGGAAACCAAATGTTTCACAGCAAAATTACTATACCATCTAGTACTTATAATTAACCAAGAGCAGACCTAAATGTAACTGTACGTGTAATTTAGACTGAAATGTAGATCACATACAGTATATATAAGAGATAACAATTTTGTCTGAATACTGCTTCGTAACCATAAGAACATGCACGCTTAGCTAAATTCGGGTCCTTAAAATAAAGTGGGTCAGGTGCAACTAGGAATGACATCATTTAAAAAAAAATGAAAGAGATAATGCGACTTCTAAAAAAAACAGAACGTTTAAAATATAATTCATTACGGGGTTTTCTATATTTCTTTGTCCTGTACAATACATTACTTCAAACATCACCTGATATATATATATATTACAGCATGAAATATATGGCAAAACGAACACTATTCAAGCTCAAAAGTCAATAAAACAATACAAAATAGGAGCAGATCAAACACGGACCTCCAAAACGTCAGAGGTGGGATCAGGTGCCATGGAGGAGTAAGCATTCCCTACCGATCGGTCATACTCATTGTGTGCTCCTTGTCGTGATCGGGAAATAAAGGATAATCCATCGATAATTCAGTGTGTAAATAATGGACTAAGTAGAAAAACGTCAGTGGGCATTTGACTCAATGATAAATTGTATTTTCTGACAAGGTTATTGTGTCGACCATAGTACTAAAGAAATGATTACTTTAAACGAGACTGCTGATATTCTTGTTTGTCAATAATTTACCTTGTTTTAAAAAGTGTACAGACGTAGAATATGCTCTTGCCATAGGCACCTGACTTTAGGCCTACTTGTTTTTCTTTGAACAAAAAATATACCCCTACCTAGGCTTATTATTAGGTAGTGATATATTTTTTTATAAAAAGAAAAATAAGTAACGCCAGGTGCCTGTTGATTGCGTATGAAATCAACTGAGAGATATAAAACCCTTATGTAGGTAATGAAGGTATATTTCTGCATAAGTAAGAGGATTTGACGATTAAAAATTTAAAGTCATCACATTTATCATAAAGCTTGGTTGTAAGATTACCATTAACGTCTTTTTCAAGTAAAATATTCAAAAATGAAAAAGATGTGTCAGACTCTGTGGTATCTTTTATCTCAAGCTCATCGGGATATGTCGTATCGACATAAGAATGGAGATTACTATTATTAATTTACAAAACGTCGTCGATATATCTAAAAGTCTTCTTGAAGGCCTCAGCAAGTGTTTTATTTTTCTTACGAACAAGATCTGGGACAAATTCTGCTTCTAAATAAAAATAATAACTACTTATCATACATGTCTTGTGCAATACCACTGCACATTTTACTTTATAAATGATATCAGAGCTTTTATATAAATGAATTTAATTAAACTTCTGAAGATAATGAATAAATGGGGTTAAATTTCTTGTAAAAATTGCAATGTAAAAATAATCATTTTCCTGACCTTTTTATTTAGTTGTATCATCTGGCCTACGTATGGAACAAAATCAGGCCCAGGGATCCCAAGGCCATGCCATAAACCAAATTTCCATTTCACATATCTGTAAAAATAAATGCTTTAGTACAAAGATCATATCATATGTTCTTTTTCAGACATTCATACATGCATAGTGTATATATTTTGCTTCTCAAGATTATAGAAATCGAAGTGGTGCATAAATTGATAAATCTGTTTGATCTTAAAAAAAGAAAAGAAATTGATTTACTTACATGTATAACATGGTCAATAATCCAGTTATAAGTAAAATCCATTCCCGGATGCCCTCAGGTAGCAAGTGGCCTCTGAATATGAGTTTAAAAATTCTTGTTAAGGACGTTCAACAAACAAACAATATCAAAGAAGGTTAATTGACTACAAGTAAACTCCCATGCTTTTTAGCGTTGTTTTAGTGGGTGGGATGTCATTATTTATGACATTTTAAAGTAATCACCCAGGTTAATTTTTCTTGATAATTAGTTCGAACATGAAAGTCAATGTGAAGGGGTCAAAAATTATAGCAGACTTGGAAACATCTTGTCACATGTAATGCAACCTTCAAAACATCAGAGTTGGGAGCAGGTGTCATGGAGGTGAGCATCCCCTGCCGACCGGTCACACACACCGTGTGCTCCTTGTCATTTTCGGGAAATAACCGAAAATCCGTCGTCAATTCAGTGTATAAATAATAGACTAACAATCAAAATGAAAAACGTCGGTCAGCATTGTATCGACCATAGAACTTACGAAATGATGACTTTAAACGAGACTGCTGATATTCCTGTTTCATCACCTTGTTTGTCAATAATTTACCTCGTTTAGAAATTGTTCATACGTAGAGCATGCTCTTGTGTATCGAATCAACTGAGAGATAGAGCCATAACGTATTCATCTTATACACATGATATATTAGGATTGTTTATAATATTTATAAACTTTACGAGTTTTATCTTTTTTTTTTTATCTTTACCATTACTTTTTAATAAGAAGTCCTTTTTCGTAGAATAAATAATCATAAGAAGTTTTTATGATTATTTTTTTCTTCTAAAAAAGAAATGTGAGAATATTTCTTCATTGATAAAATAATTTTTTAGACTAGAAGTTGGAGTCACACTACCTGTGGCAGAATCCGAGATCACATTTGAGCATAATTAATTCTTCTTGAAGAAACTAGATTTATTTATCTTTAGTTGCATGTTCATATAGGTATTTATATATAATTTTGTTAAACATTGAAAAATTCAAAGAAAAATAAGTCGCTGACAGGATGAAGACATATGTCAATATGAATAGAATTTTATTTATTTATTTTTGGCATTGCAATATGCTTTCAAATCGAATAATGCAAACAACTATGACATTTAAAAAATTATAGTATTTTTTCTATATGCATTTTATAATTTTCCAGTTGAATTGCATATTTTTCCATAATAGTTCATTACTTTTTGTTTTGGAAATATTTTCAACAAAGTCTTTTGAAATGCATCTAAAAAGTATATCCATCTTTGTATTTTTTCCCTGAGAAAAATTACCTTTATACAAGTTGTACAAGGTAATAATGTACATGGAACACAAACAATTAAAATGTTCTTAAGATTCGCTGTTTAAATCCGTTCTTTTTTCCAGTTTCAGTTTAACTCCATTAGCCGGTGTCATTATTGCTTCTTTGCTCAGTTGAACTGGAATCTGTTAAAGATATCAATAGGTAAATCATTTATAAAATATTTTTTTTATTTTTAAGCGTAACAATAATATTTATATAACTATACTAGACTGTTAAAAGACACTTCATTTTTAAATAGATCTTGTCTTGTCTCATCATCAGTTCTATCATTAAAACACTGAAATGTAATGTATGGAGATAACAAACAGCTGGGGCCTATTACTACACAGTCTAATTAAATGTCCAAACTTATCGATGTCTGTCTCCTCAAAGATTGGTTCTTGTGCTATTTGGGAACCAAAATTAAAGCTTACCTCCGTCTCGCTACATTTAATGAACCGGTAGTGTTGAAGTATGTATGCAATGCCACATTTAACCTCCATTCCCGCTAAACGTTGTCCTATACAGTTCCTGGGTCCATGACCAAACGGCAGAAACGTGTACGGATGACGACCCTCTTTATTTTCTGGGGTAAACCTTGGGAAGAAAGTCGCAAACTTTACTTTTAACTGATATTCAGAGATACTGGTAGATACAAAAAAAAAGCAAAATGAACATTTACTTTTTTCAGCGTGTAATTTAGCATTCGAACATTAACAAACTGAAACAAAGTTACTGTCACGTAAAGGATATGGAGATAACGAACAGTATTCAATATCAAAAGACCATAAAACAATACAAAATAGGAGCAGAGCAAACAAGGACCTCCAAAACATCGGAGGTGGGATTAGGTGCCATGGAGGAGTGAGCATCCCCTGCCAACCGGCCACACCCGCCGTGTGCTCCATGTCATGATCGGGAAATAACGGAAAAATCCGTCGTCAATTGAGAGTATAAATAATGGACTAAAAATTAGTATAAACACGTCAGTCAGCATTTGACTCAATGATAATTGTATTTGCTAACAAGGTCATTGTATCAACCATAGAACTTAGGAAATGATGATTTTAAACCAGACTGATGATATTCCTGTTTCGTCAACTTGTTTGTCAATAATTTACCTCGTTTTAAAAAATGTACATGCGTAGAGCATGCTCTTGCGTATCGATTAAAATGAGAGAAATAAACTCTGTATGCTGGTGATGAAGGTATATTGCTGCATAAGTAAGGGAAGATGACGATAGAAAAGTTTAAGTCATCACGTTTGTCATTAATGTCCTTTTCAAGTAAAATATCCAAGTATGAACCAGATGCGTCAGACTCTGTGGTATCTATTATCTCAAGCTCAACAGGATATTCGTATCGATATAGAATGTAAATTACCATTGTTAATTGTCAATACGTCGTCGATATATCTAAATGTCGAGCTGAAGGCCACAGCAAGTTTTTTTTTTCTTTTTCACGCCTAGGATTTTGCTTCATATGAATACAAAAATGGGTCTGCTAATAACGGAGTGCAATTGGTACTCATTTGAATTCCAATAGATTGTTGGAAGACATGGTCTCCAAAACCACATAGATAATCAGAAACTCAAGCATCTTTTTATGTCAACTTCAGAGTACTTGCGTGTGCAATCAGAATGTGTTTTAACAAATAATTTTGCAAATGATATTTGACCAGGTAAGTAAATTTACGAGTTCTATTTTTATTGAAAAAGCAGCTGTCAATGATATCAAAAAACTTGGACTTTAATTTATCGTGGGGAATGGTTGTGTATAAAGTTGAAAAGTCGTAAATTTTGAATCTGTTGATTTTGGTAAAATCTTGTGATTTCAAATTGTCCAAAAGTTCTTCGGAATGTTTTAGTATCCACATCTGATTCGCACCACTTCTTGAATATATTGTTGCACTGTGCACTTGAAGTTTTTACTTCACTAATGTCAATATCGTAGTGAGGAGTAAAGAAAGAAGCTTGGTTGAACATTTTACTGGACCCCGCAATGTATCTTTGTTTTTAAGGATTCTTATGAAGTTTCGGAATCCAATATACATATGATAGTTCAAGTTCATGAAATCAAAAACATAGAAATAGATTAGTTTTCTACATGTAGCACGTAAACAGAGCTATTTCTTGGACATTTTAACTCAACACTCATTTTGTCTGAATATTCACAAAAGTTACAGACTATGCATATTATACATGTACATTCCTTTCGTATCAAGACTATTGCAATACTTTAAACTATTAGCAGGTAAAAACGGCAATTTTATAATGCGTTCAGATCTATAAAGGTTTCTGTTTCTTGTAGTCCGTTTTTGTTACCGTCAGTTGAAATTTTTCTAAATGTTTTTTTTTTCGAACAAAATGCCTTATATTTGTAGGCCAGTATTTGTACGAATTGAAAAGGGCAAAGATGCAGAAATCTATTATACTGGTATTAATAACTTATTTGTAACCAGGGCATAAAATACTCCTTTAATTATTCCAGAGGTGCGATCAGGTGCTTAAGAAGAGTAAACATCCCCTGTTGACGGCAAGCTCTTAAGTCTTTGTGTATTTATAAGATAGACGAAACATCCTTAAGTCATATTAAGTTTAAAACGAAAAAAAACTAACAAATGGTTTGAAACACATCAGTCAATATGCGACTGCATAGTGTTGTGACATCTTGTAAAGAGTAATAATCAAACGAGCATATCTCAGTCAACATCATTTATTACATGCCTTAACCACAAAGTAATACCATTTACTACATTTTGCCACTTACCGTTCAGGATCGAATTTCTCTGGTTCTGGCCAATACTTAGGATTTCTATGTATCGCAAAAATAGGAAATATTATTTCAGTATTGGGTGGAATCTTTATACCATCCACCTCAATTTCTACAGAATTGTTTCTGTTTGTTCTGGAAAAGAACAAGTAAATTTTTCTTGATTAATAATAATTAATGTATGTGTATTATATTACACAAAAGATTATGCATTTTGTTTGACTGGTCTATTTTTGTCTCATTTTATTTGGATATACAATATACGTATAATAAATATAAATCTATACACTCGCCTTGTAGCCGGTGGGTACAGACGTAATGTCTCGTTGAACACCATGTCCAGGTACACGAGCTTCTGTATGTTGTCATATGTAGGCAGCTCCTGAAAGTTTATTTTACAAGTTGATGAGCGAAATGATCGAGGTAATGAACAGTATTCACGCTCAAATGTACAGTAAACAATACAAAATATGAGCAGAGTAAACACGGACCTCCCAATCATTAGAGGTAGTCAGGTGCCTTACAGAATGAGAATATCAACTTACTTGCTAAAGGTCATCATCATGCTAGTTCTATGGACAAGATAATGACCTTGTCAGCAAATACAATCTAACAACAAGTCAAATACCGACTGACGTTTTTAAAACTAATTGTTAGACCATAATTTATACATTACTAGTAATTGTCCACTTATATTTATCCGCCCCCCCCCCCCCGATCATAACAAAGAGCACTGGTGGGTGTGACTGGTAGGCAGGGAATATTCTCTCCTCCAAGGCACCTGATCTCCCTTTTCATGTTTAAGACATTCGTGTTTGCTCTGCTCCTGATTTGTTATGCTTGAATGGACTTAAGAGCTTGTATACTGTCTGTTATCACCATATTTCATCGGAAGATGTCCGAAGATGATAGGAACATTTTGCCAAAATAATTTTTTTCTGAAATAAAAGATAAGCTCTTTTTTCACCGAAATGTGTTGGTTTCATTTATTAATTTATCAAACTCACTTGTCCTAGAACTTTGTCAATTTCGTTTATCAGTTTTTCTTGACATTCTGGGTTTGTCGCCAGGTTGTACGCCATAAAAGTCATAGTGCTGGATGTTGTGTCGTAACCAGCCAGTAGAAAAAGAATAGCATTCCCAGTTATCTCTTCCACGGTTAAACCTGTAAATATGATGTATGTTTTTAATTAACTAGAATAATGTTTTTTACTTTAGCACAGGTAAGGCTTCAGAAAACACACAAATCGTTCGATTGAATCATATCCAGTCACAAAGTCATGGGAGATGCTGTGTTCTACATTTGATTTTTATTTAGATTAATCATCAAAAGCACTGAAAACTTGTTTTTTTCTAGATTTTTATGCATATTTCCTGATAAATTTCAATATATCTTTATCAAAGAACAACATGAACAACAACTGCTACAAGTGAATATCCAATATCAGTGCGAACTCAGCATCAAACATGATGACTATCACATCTTACCTCTCTTTTTCCATTCCTCAGGATTTTCATAAGTGTGTGTGTCCTCTATCTCATTTTTATCAGTGAGTCTATGAGCATTCAACATAAGTTGTAGCATATCTTTTCTGTCCTGTGTAAGGCAATGTCTCAATATTTATTTGTATGTGAAGAAAGAAGATGAAGAGAATAATATTTATTCGCGCTTACAGTCTTTTGTGAGATAATATTACCTGTGTAGAAATATTTTCTTACCAATATTCATTACTCAAGAATTATTTGTTCGGATTTAATTCATGGATTTATGCAAAAAGTCTGTTAGTCGTACTTTATCTGTGTCATCACGCATTTCTATCGCCCGATGTACTGCAGATTTGAAGAATTCCATCCTACCGCGGTTATTCAGGGGTGACATATTAAAGTGATCCAAAAGTTTTTCAAACGGCGGTATAAGAACTGCAATAAATGATTTGAAAATAAATAGTGAATTAAAAAATAAGAAAAAAATGAATTAGATGTGATTATCGGTGTCCATACCTGCCAGGATTGCTAAAAGAGAAATGTCGACATCAAACAGTTCTTTAGCGTATTTTACAAATTTATTGTCTGGGTTTGTCTGGGAATCGATCTCCATACCAAAGCCAAGCGAGGCAATGACGTCCATTGTAAAACTTCCAAATACTCTAAAAGAATAAATAACATTAACAAACAGCATACTATCTATCATTAATTAAGTCAAATGCTGACTGTCATTGACTGACGTTTTTTCATACTAATTGCAAGAAAATTATTTACACACTGAAATGCCGACGAATTTTTCCTTTTTTTATATAATGACAAGGAGCACACGATAGGTATGACCGGTCGGCATGGTACGCTCATTCCTCCGAGGCACCTGATCCCACCTCTGATGTTTCGGAAGTCCGTGTTTGCTCTGCTACTGTTTGTATTGTTTTATGGACTTATAAGCTTTAATACTGTTTGTTACCTTTATATACTTCAGATGAGTCTTCATTATATTGAAGAAAACTTGTTTTTAAAGTCTTTAATTAAGAGGTAGCACATACAATACAAGTAAGAATATATACATACTGTTTGAATTCAATGACACTTCCTTCCTCTGCTTTCTTAGTTAATCCTTCCAGTAACATTTTATATTTCTCTTTCAAAGGAATTCCCATCTTAAAGAAAAGACAAAAGAAAATGTGTATGGTAGCATGTCAAGTGACCGCCTGGACCACGTTTTGTGCATTGTCAGACGGTGATATACGAGAAGTCTATACTTTCATGAATAATAAACCATGGATATAGAAGTTATTAAATTTCTTATCAAACTTTTTGATCACCCGTGTACATCTCACATCCCAAAAAATTTTGATTGCTTGTCTCTCTCTTTATATATACGTATATGCACCTTTCTTAGCTTGCCACTGGAGAAAGTTGGCAGTATGGTGTTTCTCATAAATCGCCAATGATCATCTACAACTTCTGTTAAAGAATGCTTCATCTCGCCTCGTTGTTCTACCAAGGCCTATAAAAATATGTCATTAGAAAACATCTCTTATCTGAATTCATTAACACTATTCACTTTGAGATTAATATCACATGTATTTTTTTCCTGGTGCAGTATTGCATATAAAATAAAATGAAATTCCTGGAATTTTCAACAATGTCAAGTTTTTAAACCAATGAATTAACTTTTTCTAAATATAAAATACAACCTACATATCTATTAGGAGCTTTGGAGAAATCCTTCACCATGATTGTTTTAATAAGATCTGGATCAGATATCATTATGCCAGCCATACTCCCGAAATATAACCTGCAAAGTTAGTTGAAAAATAAAATTAAAAAGGTCCATCACTTGCAATTCAGAAGAATTTTTTCATAAGATTATAAGTGTGAAACATGAAGAAATATCTTTCATCCAAGTAAAGTATATTGCAAAACTCACCCGAAGACCCTTCCATATTTTTCAACTAATTCGACATCCAACCCATGAAAGCCCTGTAAAAATAATGGTATGGATTAAATATTCTAATAGCGAAAATTTAACCCCTTGATATCCATTTGTTACCAAAATTTGTTGTGGCTAATATTAGTTTACTATGGAAATAATTATATTATAAGAAAAAAAGTTGGTTAGTTAACTTGTCGTTTATATTTTATATATATATATATATATATATATTGAAACGATGTCGAAATGATGGCTACAGCACGAGTTTCTTCTTCTGAGATCCATTTTTATTGAAAAAAACGAAAGTGATGTCAAAAATATCGCAAAGCTTGATCTTTAAGTCATCGCTAAGCTTGGTTTTCAGATAATAGCAAAGACTGTTTTTTAATTTATCGTGAGAATATTAGTATGAAGAGTAGAAAAGTCATTCGTTTCGATGTCATAGATTTTTGGGGTTAAAATGTGATTTTAACTTTTTATTTGATGCAAAGATCACCTGCATAATATATTGGAATATTCCTCGCTCAATTGTGTGAATACCACATTTTTTTAAATTGATATCATGATCAATGTTTCTCAAAACTGAATTAATTTTATAACATTTAAAAATCTACATGGAATATGTACATTTCATTAAAGAGTCTTTTTCCCGACCTTTTTGTTGAGGTGTATCATCTGACCTACGTATGGGAAAAAATCAGGTCCAGGAATACCTAGGCGACGCCATAAACCAAATTTCCATTTCACATATCTGTAAACATGAAAATATTCATTATTCATTTTATATTTTAAAAAAGAAAAAACAGAGAGATAAAAAATTATAATCAGGTTGAGACTTGATGCTACCTTGCCATAGAAAAAGGGGGGAGTTTGTCTGCTTTACCTAGTATTCCCACAGATAAATTTATATGATTTATATGTCTATTGTTTTACTATGGTCAATTTTCACTGCCCTTTCGAACCAACAGGGGGAGGGGTGGTCTTGAAAAACAAGTACTGGGTAACCCCAAGCATTCTGGGAATGTTGCATAAGCAATACACGTCCCCTACCGGGTTCCCCCTGTCTGTTTAGGATGTCATTTTATAATATCCTGTATATGAAAAAGTGCCCCCAAAATGTGGACATTTAGTAATTACTTGTTTATGAATGAAATGTCCTAAAATTAAATTGACCTGACGTGTTTAAATTTCATTAGACATACATGCTTTCATTAAAATAGCTCAATTTCATGGTTAAAATTCTTTTTTTTTTTATCAGTCGAACTATAGTTTGAACTATGGTTTGTTTCTTGTTTAGAATAATCTAACCAAGCCCTCACCAGCTTTAGACTATTTTTTAGGTTGCACATGTTTTTAACCTGATAGAAATAAGAGATGATCCTCATATAAACGAAAATTCATGTTATTTTTCAACCTTTTTTTCTTGCTTCAAATTTTAACAGCCACACTTTTCCACAATAATTTAAGTACTTTATTCTTGAGTAAGAAATATCATTAACTAATTGTTAATATTGCAAATAATATTGACAGTATACTCCAGTAAATTGAAAGGTTTCTATAGAGAATTCAATTTTTTATTTTTAAGAGTAAAAAATTGCATATCATTTGAATTATCATGAGTATGGTCATTAGAGCTTGACATGCGACACATTCAAGGTATATTAACAATGTTGATATGTTGCTATTATTATTAGATTTAGCACTATCTTTATAATGTCAAGTTTTAAGTTTAACTTTTCATTAATTTGAAACATCTTATTTTTCCAAATTCTGTGAAAATGTGTGGCGGTCGGTCTTAAACAAAAGATAACAAAAAATGCAGCCCAAAATGCTGTAAAATGCACCATTTGGAGCAATTGTTAACAATTTCTCGAAGGAGGCTCCCATAACCTCCTTCTTTGGGTCTCAAATCCACCCCCCCACCACCACCACCATCAACTTCTGGATCCGCCACAGAATTTTTTGTTTACATTAGATACACTCCATCTAGCTCCAGCAGGTGATAGAAATTGTTGCATTGCATAATCAATAGATTTAAAACAAATGATTTACTTACATGTATATTATAGTCAGTAACCCAATCGTAAGTAAAAGCCACCCCCTGATGCCAAGTAAGCCCAGGGCGTCCATTTCCGAATACAATTAGTTGGTAAAAAGCTTTCCACTTCCTTGCCAGGTTTCCTTTTATTTCGTGACAGCGGATGTATTTCAATAAAAGACAAATAAAATATTGCAAAACTAGCAAAGGCAACACTTGTAAACACTTGTAAAAGGTCACCGTACTAGATATTGACGTTTACATACAATATGTATACATTTCAAGGGATTTAAATGCGGACCGAATAAAAGGGTTATATAATGCACTGGCGGATGCCCGCTTCCCCCTTTTGTGTCCAATATATACATAAGACTTATTATTTTGTGTGTAGCCGTGGACCCCTATACTGACCCCAAAAGCCCCCCCTTTTGTAGGTTCCTGGATCCGCCACTGACATGTGTCCCATCCGACTGCACAAATCTACGAGGGGCTATGAAAAAGTTGGTAGACCGATGCGATAGAATTAATACTATGTAGTCAATGAATACAAAATCTATAACAAACATTGAACAACAAACTGAAAATTTCAGCTTGATATTACACTTTACACGCACGTAGCACCGACCCAGAGCGTTCGCACTGGATTTAGTTTGTACAAAAATATCTAGTCAATGCATTTTAAATGTAAACAGGAAATTGAAGGAACGCTTTCATAGACATTATAATGATGTATACAGCACTTAAAATTTATATTGAAATGTTATTTGATCATTTGATTTTTTTTTTCATTTCTTTTCAGTTTTATGGCATATTTATAATCAGTATTCTCTTCTTAATGTGGACTTAATTTATATCCACAGAATAAATATTTCTTTCTATTACATGTAATATGCCACATTTAGTGGCCCCAAAGTCTCTATACATCACAATATTATGTAAGGTAATTTCTGTTCTCAGTATCGATATGCAACATGAGATGATCTCTGGTCTCCTTACAGCTGCAGGTCTGTAGCGCTATGGTTTTATATATTTGTCTTTGACCATAACGCTACAGATCCCGTAATGCAAAAAAGTTGCAATTTACGGCGCAATATTTTTTGCGCACTTTTGAGGAGAATTTCTTCACTTCACTTTCCAGCATCAGTCAAATTAACTATACTCACCGTCAATAGAAACGCAACACCCCCTTATTTTAGGGTGAAAATTAAAAACATGTTATAACTATGTACCAAAAAAGTTAGGAATCTTTTACTTTGCCAAATCAGTTATTTTACGGTTGAATGAATTTCTTTCCATTACCGGAAGTTGCTTTTTAGCCCTCTTATCAGAATTCAAAATTTTCTATTTTTAATAAAATTTTAACAATATTTTGGGTTTCCAAGGTTTTGAAACTGTTAATTATAAGTATTGTACTAAAAGGCCGGGGGAAAATCCTTCTTTCTTTACCGGATGTGATGCCTATATTTCCTCAAAATGACTGATAGCAAGAAGGGGGGATGTTTTAAGAGTTATGTGTTACCTTCTAAAGGTTAATGATAACATTAAAACTGAAAATATTTAGGTAAAAAGTAAATTTACAAAAAATTAATGCTCCATTTAAACATTAAATGTTATTTTTAGACCTTAGAAAGAAACAAATACCCGGTAAATCTTAAAACATCCCCCCTTCCGACCATTTAATGAAAACGTGCTAGTCCGCCATATACAACAAATGCAGCCCGATTTCTACCATGCATTAATTTTATTAATGTCTTAATCTGAGCGAAATTAATATTCTTGGGCATTTTTAAATACATGTTTTTCAGATATTGGGGTCGAATTTTCTCTAACCTGGCGTAGTGTAGCAACTTTTTGACTTCCGGTCAAGAAACTGTCATTTATGCTATTGAAACACATTAGCCTGATGAGTCGTTATATAGTGTACATTTGTATCTGCATCTCTTTTTTTCTTTATTTTGAAAATGTTCAGCATTAGCAATGAAAATCAGTCATTTTGAGGATATATAGGCATCACATCCGGTAAAGAAAGAAGGATTTTTTCCCGGCCTTTTAGTACAATGCTTATGACTAACAGTTTCAAAACCTTGGAAACCCAAAATATTGTTAAAATTTTATTAAAAATGGAAAATTTTGAATTCTGTTAAGAGGGCTAAAAAACAACTTCCGGTAATGGAAAGAAATTCATTCAACCGTGAAATAACTGATTTGGCAAAGTAAAAGATTACCTAACTTTTTTGGTACATAGTTATAACCTGTATATAATTTTTATCCTAAAATTAGGGTGTTGCGTTTCTATTGACGGTGAGTATACTTTTCATTCCCTAATTCTAGGCACATTATTTAACTAATCTGTATATTTTATCCATCTTACAACTCTTTATAGTCGTCTCTACAAGTGTTAAACTCGTTTGATTAAAATTATTTGTTAGATTGCTGAAAATTCACTTCAAGCGAGTTTATTGCCTGTAGAGACAACTATAAATGGTTGGGAGGTGGATAAAATATACATATTGGCTACAGAATGTGTCTAGAATTAGGGAGTGAAAGGTAGTTGATTGACCAATGCTAGAAAGTGAAGAAATTATCCCCAAAAATGTGCAAAAAATATTGCGCCGTAAATTGCAACTTTTTTTTGCATTACGGGATCTGTAGCGTTATGGTCAAAGATAAATATATAAAACCATAGCGCTACAGATCTGCAGCTAGTCTCCTTACAGAGGCTAAATTCTGGTTAAGGTGACATGCAACATCCCCCTACAGATATACATTGTACTACATATGTGACCTCTCTCAGGTGTTCTCAGTTCTCCTTAGAGGGGCTGACTCTTGGTTAAGGTAATCTCTGATCTCCATTTAAAGCATGATAAAGTACCCTCTGGTCTCCTTACAAAGAGTGTCCTTTGTTTTAAGGTGGTCTCTGGTCTGCATACTGATGTATCATATCAGGTATCCTCTGGTCTTACAAAGGTTTTTAGGTAGCCAATAGTTTCCATTTTGACCATTTATAATTGACCTCTGAGAACCTTATTGATAAACAACATGATGATATCATTGGTCGTTTAGTAATATACCATAATAAGGATCTTCGACCCCATTCTTTGACTGACTCCTGGTTTAGATGACATCTAGTCTTGGTGATATGGCCTCTTAGTCTACATAAGGCATTACCTTGAAAGATGGAAGGGGTCATATAAGGTATTATGCTAATTATGTAGACAACTTAATGTTTTACGTATTTAAGATGACAAGGAGTCATCATTAAGATGACCAGAGGTCAGCTAATGCTGCACAGGGTTATTTTTGCCCCATGTTATTTTTGCCCTTTCACATTTGCAGACGATTTTTGCCCAGTCATAGTTTTATTTATGAGATTATACTGTAAGTATTCTGTGAATTAACCTGGTTTTAAATTTGCCCGAGTAGGGAGACAGTGGCAGAAATAAAACAGGGGAGAAAATTTCCCTGTGTACAATATATCAATAAATAAGGGGACCAGAGGTCACTTTTAACAGACAAACTCTGAAATTTCAAAAGAATTGACCTGTGGAACAGGAAAATTTCTCCCCCAAAAAAAAAAAAAAGTCACATTTCAAAATCACCTGTCCTTTTATCAGAACAAAACTTTATATTTACCTGATTTGTTAAAAGCATATGTAGTATATTGATAAAAAACAGTCTCTGGTTAAAAAAAAAAAAATAACAGTCATATATGTGAAAATGCTGATTAGTTTTGAAGAATAACAACAAAAATGGAATGATATGCAGTATAAAAAGTCCATGCACTCTCTAAAACACCTCATCAAAAAACAGCCACTTGCTTCACACACACTGTTCAACACACTTCTGTATCATTTTCCTTTTAATCACAGTTTCACCATAAACCACTGGGAAGATATGTTCTAGCTCTGACTGAGTTATCAACAGGTAAGTTGGTGAAGAATTCCAGTCCTGTTATCAGCTCCACATCCCTAACCCTGGCTTCATTGTCCTGCAGGTAGGCTTCTACAGACTGAAATAGGACAACAAATAATTCACAAACCTCTGAAGTCTTAGTTTGTTAGGGTACATTACTATGTGGTATAGGGTAGAATGGTAAACTTACCAGACAGTTCGACTCCTTCTCAATGTGAGGTAAGATAAATGACAAGGTGACAGGGGACTGACAGAACAGACTGCGGGACTCACAGCGAGAGAGTATCACAAAGAAATGACTGGGTAAAGGCCTGTAAAATAAAAGATCATATCAAGTAATTGAGAAAATGAGATAAGTCTTTAAACTATTGTGGTGGTCAGCCGGGTTTGATTGCAACTGGCCAGATAGCTCAGTTGGTAGAGCAAGGTGACATACACAGAATGGTAAACTTACCAGACAGTTGGACTCCTTCTCAATGTGAGGTAAGATAAATGACAAGGTGACATACACAGAATGGTAAACTTACCAGACAGTTCGACTCCTTCTCAATGTGAGGTAAGATAAATGACAAGGTGACAGGAGACTGACAAGAGAGACTGCGGGACTCACAGCGAGAGAGTATCACAAAGAAATGACTGGGTATAGGCCTGTAGAATAAAACATCAAATCACATAAACAAAAGTACAAACAACCAGAGAGAATCACAAAGAAATGACTGGGTATGGACCTGTAAAATAAAATATCAAATCACATAAACAAAAGTACAAACAGCTTGAGAGAGTCACAAAGAAATGGCTGGGTATGGACCTGTAAAACATCATATAAAGTAATTGAGAAACATGAGTTAAGTCCTTTAAACTATCATTATCAGAAAGTCTTGATTTGTGATTCATCAGTTTGAAATCAAGTAAACTTTAAGGTATAATTAAGTTATGTAGTCTAAAATTTACATTTCATAATACATGTATATAACATTATATATGTTTTTATGCACCAGAATTGACAGATTCGGGGCATAAATTGTTTTTGTCCTGTCTGTCTGTTTGTCTAGATGTTTGTCTGTTTATCTGTTTGTCAACTTTAACCTTCGCCATAACTTTTGAACCTTGAGAGATAGAGACTTCATATTTGGTATGCATACCCCATTAATAAAGCACTTTTAACTGACACCAAGGTCAATGACCTTGACTTACACAATTTTGCCATTACTTTTGAACCATAGGAGATAGTCTTTATTTGGTGCATTTATCAAGCTTAGAAATAACACCAAGGTCAATGACTTTGTGACCTTGACTGACCTATAAACTAAAAATAACTTCGTATTTGATATGCATACTCAACTAATTAAATGCTTTCAAATGACACCAAGGACAATGATCATTTGACCTTGACTGTGACCTATATGTTAAAAATTGCTTTTTCGAACTTTGTTGCCGCCGGGCGCATAGTGTTTCACAAACACATCTTGTTTTCAGTCATTTTTTGAAAAAATTATTATTAATTTGCTTGCAATACAGTGAAAAGGAAAAAAATTCAATATCAACCAATTTTTAATGAATTAATTTTCTTTAAAACCAAAAACACCAAGGTGAAAGAGGAAAAGAGCAGAATTTCAAGCTCTGTTAACTTGGATATTGTGGATGTGACTAACACAGATAAATTCAAGTTAACTTGGATATTGTGGACTTACATGGATTGATTTAAGTTAACTTGGATATTGTGGATGTGATTTACGTGGATTGATTGGATGTGGATGTGACTTACATTGATTGATTAAACTGATCGGGAAGACTGTCATGGTTCCAATCAAACACTGGTCCCGTCACCACGTTTACCAAGTTATGTGACTCGACCCACTTCTCAATGTAATCATGTAAGCTTTTCCATATACCTGTAAAAGATTTTTGAATCATGCTCAGTGAATAAAGCATGTTATCTTTCTGGATGAATCATATAAAAAATATTACATTTCGTGATGTTCATGGAACTGAACTGAAGTCAGACGTACCTGTTTTGAAAGCGTTTAACATAGGAACATAAGTAGATGAGAAGGAACTAAGTTCTGGATTGTTTCTGGATGAAGGCACTACAATCACAAAGGTGTAAACATGTCATACCTAGATCCAAGTACAGGCATGAAAATGTTAACTCTGAATATTGATTAAAAAGAAGATAATATACTTTGGCTTGTTAGAGATGTCCACCTATACTGGTCACCAAGGGAACTGTTCACATTGCAGGACTCTGACCCATTAAACCGACTCGACACCCTGAGATCTGGTACTACACAGGGGGAGGGGTCTGGCACACCTCTACCCACCTTAAATTATAAATGTGATACAATTAAGGTAATACGCAGTAATACGGAAGTTTGAACTTTATTGAGTTCTTCCCTGGAGTTGAAGAGTTCCACTAAATGAAGGACCTATGAGCAATACTTTTAATGTCGATATATGGATTTGTATACCTCTTCTAAAACAAATTTTGCTGAAAAAAAATCTCGAATTTATGTTTTGTAATTTTTGTACATTTTTCTTTGAATAATGCAAAAATTTTCATTATTTGATATCTTTTCAAAACCCCTGGTGACACATGCTGATTTTTTATCTAAGAACATGTAATGGTAATATAAGTTTAAATTTAGAATATCTTGAAAAATTATCAGTAGGTAAGGACCGTAAGGTACTTTGCATATGTCCTTAAGTTTAAGTTTATTGTACTAAAAATTTTTCTCAACCAGAGCTAAAGTTCTGAGGCTAGGTCAACTTTTAAGTGACCTCGAGACTATATCCTTTGCTCTTGCGTTCCACAGAGATAGTTTTTGAAAAAAAATTCATTATCATATATATCCCTACGTTAAAGTTCAGTGATAGTCGAATCCTTGCTTTACAAAGCATCATAAGCATTATCAATTTCTTGATTTTTTTTTTTGTCAACATAGAGCCAGCATAGGTCATCATGAAATTTACTTAGTACCTGTGCTTTGTTCAAGGAATATGAAATCCACAGAGGGCGCTGTAGATCCTCACTGTACCCCGTGATGTATTTGTCCTGGTACAGAATTCTGGGGGAAACCCCCGGCAGGTGAACAGAGGGAGCCCCGAACGGAAGCTGACCAGACACATCCATGTTTGTAATCAGTGAACTCAGCGCAAGGAATCTTCCTGCTGTATACATCTGTAAATTGTGTTAAAAGTATTGTAATATTCAGACTCTATATTATTTTACACAGAGTTCTCTTTAATTCATTGTGAAGGTTATATAGCTTGAATTTAATTACTCTATGATCTCTACCTTTTTTTAAAAAAATCCTCTCCCTTTTTCCTTGATGTACTCACTTTTTCTGGAATAAATGAGCATGCATTCTGACAGTCTGCGTTATTTACAGCACTAACAAACTCCGCTGCGGTTACTCTAGTGATGTTCCGGTCCAGCTTGTTGCCCTCTGACCTTGTTATAGATGGAGGATTCCTCAACAAATGATTCAGGGCTCCCATAGTCCCATTGTTTGGTGCAGCAGTTATGTTCAGAATATCTGCAATTTCACAAGTCATTTAGAATCAAATCATGAAAGCAGATATAATGGTGATCTGTAGAGCCCCACTGTCCAAAGTACTGAGATATGTTGCCATTCCTTAAAGGTCAAGAACAAAGGCAAAACATTTACCTTATTTATAGCTTTGTATCACCTGAGATGTTTGTGTTCATGAGAACAATTTTAAAGATATTCTTATATATTCCCATCTCAGACTCTCTTTTATTTCTAGACCCAAAAGTTTGAATTGAACAATGCTGAGTTTACAATATTCATGTATAAGGAAGTTATGCAGTTGAACCTTGGTCTCAAAAGTTTGTTTAGAACATCAAGATCAGAAATCAATGATATTCATTTAATTATGCATTTGGATGCAAACTTTTCAGGAAAGCAAAGAAAAAAATCAAGGTCAGACTTTGACAGGTGCTTACTGCTTTTACAGATATAAGTATCAGTATCTGTTTGTTTGCAGAGTGGAACATATAAACAAACGAAAAGACAGAGAGACAGAAGACAGATGTGACAAAAATATTAGAACTGAAAAAGAGGCTCATGACCCACTTACCAGACATTAAATTGTATAACTCAATGTTTTCAAATGCATATGTCGACATGTTCTGTTTGAAGACTGGTCCATGGGCCAGAAATAAAGCCTGAAAGATTAATAAATTTTTGTTAATGGAAAAGAGGCATTATGTACTTAAAAAAAGCATGTTTATGATACCATTTTACAGGTTTAAAATCTTTGCTTCTTCCTCCCCATTGATGAGCAAGGAGCAAAACCTTAAAAGTCAGACTGATGGAAAATGCATAAATATATTTTATATAATAATCCACTAAAATGTCCACACATCAATTTAATCTTGGCTAAAATGCTATGTCTTCTACTTAGAGCGTCCACAAAATCTTTTGTTAAAACCTCCATTTATATTACCAATTACCGTAGACTTAATGTTCAAGAGATGATGATATTTTTTAAAAGGGTCTTGATCAGTTCTTTTAATTGTAAAATAAAACTTTCTTCAAGTTAAACAGAGTTGTGCTTGTACTTACCATGTTACCTTGATATGGAATTTGTTAATAGTCTAGAGAAAATATTGTTCATACCACCATGTTTACTGAAAACATTATTTCTTACAGTTTTTCTTTTTTTCATAGATTTGTATATCTTATCTTACACCCTATCTGAGTAGATTTGTTTATGTCTACCTGTATTGCCTGGTATATTTTTATCTTACCTGCATTGATTTGTACAAGTTGTCATAACCATGGTTACCACCTCTACAGTATTTCTTATTATAACCTTTCAGTGACCTAGAAACAAAGATTCCTGTTTAATATCAACCATTATTTGCATAATAAAATCAATTCTTTTACTCTACAATTTTGTTTGAAAATGATTTTTAAAATTTGTACCTCTATGTGTAGGTAAATCAACTAGTGATCAATTCTGAAAGAGCACCTGCTTTGAAAATCTTTAATACATGCTTGCATATTTTTTTGACTCTTGGGTGTCTCTTTTTAAATTTGTTTGTTAAGGACCATCCTCAGAGTCCAGATTTTCAATAAACTTCAATCTAGACTACATCAATGCACTTACAATATATCATTATTAATGCTTGATGTATTAAAAACAAACTATTATATAAAAAAACCTCAACAGTTGTCTATATAAAACTGTATTTGAAGGCCTTTAGCTCTAATGAGCTGATACTCTTTGCTCTGACCTTGACTATTTTCTGTGACTCACCTGAAGGTCACCAACCACTTGTCCTCGACATCCACAATCACTGGTTCAATTCTCTTGTTGTTAACGTAATGATGTCGGACAGGTAGAAGGTTCTTATCAAAGGCTTTAAAGTGTGGGGTCTTACAGGTTAGGTTGGCCAGGATGCTGGATACAGGGTCTACAAAATAATGTAGTTTTTATTCATATATTAAAATCCCAAAACTTTAAATGAAATTATTATTTATGTCAAATATAAAGGACTGTCTATATAAGAGACCCTGGTGACAGTTTATAAAGCTGCCCAGACCCAAGTTATACAGATAAATCGGACAGCTACTAAATTCAATCCTTAAGATCTTGACACAGGTAATGCATTTGTGACATATGAATGTTCTGAGTGTCTTCTCTCATTCAAAAGATTTGACCAAGGTTTTAAGATTTTTTACCAGAGAGACCAAAAACATTAAAATGTGGAGAATAAATATTACATCAAGGTGATACGTACATGGATTAGACACGGGGTGAAGTCCTACCCTGGCATACTTATGGTAAGGATCGATCCTGCTAAATGCTCCCTCATAAATGTACATGTTATACGTATCAATCAAACCTCTAAAGCTGACCAGCCTATCACAGTCATTATCAGCCATTCCTACAAACAAGAGATCTTCACTTAGCATCAACAATATTTTCTACAGTTAATAATGCTGTATACAGGGTTATTTTCGCCCTGTCTTATTTTCGCCCTTTCTCATTTACAAACAATTTTGTCCCGTTTCAAATTTGCCCAGACATAGTTTTGTTTAAGAAATTATACTGTATGTTTTGAATTCGCCCCGTTTTAAATTCGCCCAAATGAGGGTAGGGCGTAAGGGGCGAAAATAAAACGGGCGAAAATTTCCCTGCATACAGTAATCTCATAATCATTCATTTCCCTATTTTGAGGTCTTTTCCTTACCGTGATCAGCTACAATGATAATGTTGGCACACTCATGCATGTTTCTTCTATACAGCCCTTCCATCAACTTTCCAACCGCCTCGTCAACTCTTTCAAGGGCCTGTCCAATCTACAAAATCATCAATTTTCACATCAGTAAACAAGCAATATTCTACAATATATCCTTCACAACAAACCTGATCAGTATGAAATCATTTACAATTCATTTCTGTATTAATTACAATTGATTTGTCTACCAGTATGTACATGTTTTTAAAATTACAGTTCATTTTTTATATACCTGGATCTATAGATCTTGGGCATATATTGTTTTTGTCCTGTCTGTCTTTGTGTTATCTGTTTGTCTGTCTGTTGTCAACTTTAACCTTCGCCATAACTTTTGAACCGTGAGAGATAAAGACTTCATATTTGGTATGCATATTTCACTAATTAAGTTCTTTCAAATGACACCAAGTTCAATGACCTTGTGACCTTGACTTTGACCTATATGCTAAAAATAGCTTTTCGAACTTTGTTGCTGCCGGGCGCATAGTGTTTCACAAACACATCTTGTTGATTAATACATGCACGCTTAATTTTTGGAAAAAAATTGTCATTCAAATTACATTTAATTAAATGTTTACCTCTGCATTTCAATTATAGGACTAATACAATGACAAGAAATTTACATGATGGAAGAAAAGGATAACAAATACAGGTAATTGCCCTACAGTCTATCCTATCTTGATTAACTGAGATTTTCTCTATGACAATCCATGCACAGGTGGGTAGTAATTCCCTCTTAATTTATTGGGGGTAATATCAGCACTGATATGGTGGCTAACATGGTCATTATTAACTGTTTATGACACCCAGATCGTACGGTCTCTGTTTACAAACAATTCTTCACTCAATAAAGATTACACATCATTGAATGTCAGCTAGTACATTCAATATTTAGAGAACAAAAATAATTAATATTCCCTATCATTTAATAAATGATTAATTTTTTTCTTTAACTTGTATTTTTTTTTTGGGGGGGGGATTCACAGTCAGTTTAAATATATCAATTTTTGTTTGCTTCTCAATTCATTCTAAGCATATGACTGAGTCCTTGTAATACTGTAGAAGCACAAATTTTCGTGGGCATAAAATTTCATTGTTTCGTCATCAAAAATAGTTTCATGGGCTTTTCATTTCGATGTTTCAAAAGTAACCCTATTCAACATATAGTCATATAAAATTTCGTGTGGGATTTAATTTCGTTGAATATTGTTTACAACAAAATAAACAAAATTTAATCCCCCACGAATATTTGTGCTTTTACAGTATTACATATTTTCACAGTATCTTAATTTATAGCCATAAAAAATTACAATGCACCAATGCTAGGTACGGATTCAATTTAAAATGACAGAATTATAAGTACATTAATGTACAGAAAAATATTTAATAATCTTTCTATTAGAATTTGTCAATAAGTGAAGCAGGAGACAGTATGACCCAGGAGTACCTGATAACTTGACAATTGACACTCCTTCCATCATAAAGCCTAATAAACTTTACTGCCTTTAATCACACCCATATATTTCATTCAGAAAATATTGCAGATCAATCTATGAATCATCAAGCCAGCAATGAGGAGCTATCTAATATCTCAGAATGTGTCCTTCTTTAATAAGAATTTAACAAATTCTACGGATTTTATACCAATCATTATAGATCCCTCGGTTTTTGAAAAAATACTTTTTCGCATTGAGCTTTGGCGGATATCTCATGGATATATATTGTTTCCACTTTGTGTGCTTGGGATCATTGGAAACAGTTTGTCTTTCATAATCCTGACAAGGAAAGCAGTGAGGTCCACAACCATTGCTATCTATTTACGCTGTCTTGCAATGGCCGATTTCTTCGTTCTGCTGACAGCCATTTTTCGCTACAGAAGTTACAAACTGTTTTTTGATGATGAGGGGGAGAGGTGGTCTATTTATTACTTTGATCCTTATATTCAGGTCTATGTGGAACCCATTCATTGGATGGCCCTGGGTGTCTCCAGCTTCACCACACTGGCTCTGTCTATGGAGCGGTATCTAGCAGTCAGGTACCCAATCCGAATCAAGCGAGCCTGTACGCTACCTGTGGTACGCATAGTCATTATAGGAATAATCACCACCGTACTCATCATTACTGTACCTAACTATTTCACGTACAGAGTCGGAAAGTTCCTCAAAGACAACAAAACATACGTGGACGTAGCCATGCTAACAGAGATGGGCAAGATGACTTTATATCACTGTGTTTACCACAGCTATCTGATCCCGTTTCTATGGTACATTCTACCATGGCTTATGTTGGCTGTGTTCAGTGCTCTCCTATCCAAAAATGTCCGTAGATCCAGTCAAATCCGTGTTGATGTTCCTCTCACTTCTAACCCCAACAGAAACCTGACTGTCCTTATTATCATGATTGTTGTGCTCTTTCTCATCTGTAATTTTCCCAACTGCATCATCGTTTTCTATAACCTAGTACACCACACTATGGACAATGATGTGTGTACTCATGAGACCCAGGGTTTACTTTCTAAAACAACCCGGATTTATGACACCCTAGAAGTTCTGGGAGAAATATTGAATGTGTTTAACAGTTGTATAAACTTCATCATCTACTGTGTGGTGGGGACTAAGTTCCGCCGAGAACTGAAGCGATTTGTTCTGTGTGAGAAATGTAAGAGAAAGCGGAACAATCGTATTGTCCCTAGTCTGTCGTACCATAACCAGCTCAGAGACACAGCCACTGAAGTCATCTCTAACATCGGTAGATAGGCTTCAGGGTGGCAGTACATAATTTATAGATTAGCTTTTATTTTCACGGCTAATTTATTTCTAACTGAAATGATTTGTACATATTTGAACATATGATTATATTTTTTGGCAATGATTTTTTTAATAGCATGTTTAAAATGTCAAACATGATGAACTAATGGGACAAGAAAAACTTGTCAGTTAAATTAAGTAGAAAAAAAAAATTAAAAGGAAAGAAGATTATTAAAACCCTCTCTATCTCTCATTTAATGTGAAGGTATGAGTGTTCAAGATCAGCTAATTTAACAATGGTATATCAATCAGAGGGACTATTATATAGATAAAGAGGTCCATGTACCTTAACGATGTCATCTGGACCGAAGGAATGCCCCGTGTGGTCAGGCTCGTCATAGTACAGAGTGAGAAAATCTGGACGTTTATCCGCTGGCAAGTCAATCCAAGAAAGGACTGTATCCACTCGATCCAAAAAGGGAACATTGCTAAAAATTATCTACCCTTATCAAATACAGAACACAGAACTTGAAAATAATTTTTTTATAAAATTTTTAAGACAAGCACTTGTCTGTCTATTTAATTCGCGATCAGTTTAACTGAATTCATATTTATTTATTAATAAGTAGATTTTCATTTCTTAAGAAGTTTTAAGTTTGTTTTTTAACATTCTAATTAAAGTTTAGCCTCTTACCCATCATAGTCTTTGTAATAATCAGGACGCATGCCTGTAAAACAAATTACCATCGGATTAATCACTTCATGTGTAAATTATATCTTACATCTGCTTGGACTGGACATAGAGAGAAATTATCAATAGCTCAAAATTATTTGCCTCATCTTTCATTACAAAGTACTACCATATAACTTTTCATATAGAATTTATTTCTTTAACAAAGAAGATACATTATAAATCCTCAAAGGAAAATTCATTTTATTAACAAACCCTCTATTTCATGTTCAGATCCAGGCCAAAAGTAAGTTGCAGATTTCTTATTGTGTTTTCTAACTGTATTCCAAATCTGTGTGCAAAAAAAAAAAAAAAGAGTGATTTTTAATATCTAAAATTTTAGAAAAAGCTCTTAATAAAGAAACATCTGCTTATTTGTGTATAACACACATTTATAAACACCAGTATTAGGTGTGTTTTGGAGCATTCTAAATTGTCAGTAAATTATTCCTAAACTGGTGCCCCCACTTACTGGTTCCCCTCCCCACCACCGAGGGTCTGATGCGTTCGCAGAACTAAGACTAAATTTCTCCTTGATGTCTGTATCATACATGTTGTTATCAATGATGCCATGGGATTCTGGGTAAAGTCCCTGTAATATTTAAAGTGCTAAAATTACTCTCTCTTTCTTGTTCTGAAGTCATTCAAGATAAACATTTTAAAACATATCAATGTAATTGGTAATTGATAACTTCATGTTACAATCATGATTATATGGTTTTAGCATTTATATTAAATCTCATCCACAGATTCTTTGTGGTAAGTTTTGGAGACTTCTGTGTCCTGCATTTCTGAAAACTTTTGAGATGCAAAGTTAATGGCCAAAAAACAAAAGATGAATGGATGCTGGAGCCAATGCTTGTACTTACAAGTTATCAAGTGTTTGACTCCACTGCAAAAGTAACCTAGTACGAAATATCTTATGTTTTCCTGGCTTTTTACCGATTTTGATATTTTATGAGCCAGGAAAACGTCAGAACCGCGGCGCCATTACGAAAACTGGAAATTTCACAGTCTCTAACTGGAGCTGATTTTAGATACTTGCAAAGTAAATTAAATACCAAACTTACAAATTATCAATAGCACAATTCTTATAGTACTCACCAATATCAATGAAAAGAAAATAGAACTCAATTTTCCAATGCAGGTTTGCAAGAGTTTAAAATTTGCAAAAATGAAAACTAAACTCGGTGGTCTGATAAAATGTTTTCACTGGACTGTATATTTTATAAACAAACCATAAAAACGATGTTGGTAAGTACCATAAATCCAGAAATTTTTACGTCAATTTTATTTTGCGAATCTGGGTCAAAATGCTATTGATTAATTTTTGTGTTTCAAAATTTTGCAAATGACCACTACTTTGTTTACATTTTCTTATTGTTGAATTATTTTTAAGAAAAATATTTTTGCGAATGCCATGAACTCGCAAATTTGCTAAAAATTTATCTACAGCAAAAATATCCAGATTTATGGTAGTAAAGGCACTGTACTCTTAATAAGCAGTGATTTCAGTATTTAATTCTCTTTGTAAGTATTGAAAATCAACCCACGAATCCCGCCTCCAGGTGGAGGCGGCAAATTTCCACTTTCCTTATGGCGACAGTTCTGACGTTTTCCTGGCAGGTAAAATATCAAAATTGTTAAAAAGCCTGGAAAACGTCAGAAATTTAGGACTAAAAATAACCCAGTTGGAATTTTAAGAATAGAATAATGCTTACTGTTACAATACTGTAGTGGTTGGGGAATGTCTTGGTCGGGTAGACTGATCTCATGTAGGGGGCGTGGACACCACACTGACTGAGGCGGCGAATGTTAGGAGTAAAATTACGTAACAGGTAATCAGCTCGGAAACCATCCAGTGAAATCAAAATCAGGGGCCGATAGCTGTAGAAAATTCAAAATGTCACTTCTATTAATTTTATTACAGTCAAGTGTATTTCCTTTGCTATCCCTCTTTCTCTAAGCTCATCTTCATGAATCTTATTCATAATGTATTGCCTAATTTGACGGCTAAAATTGCTTTGTAATATTCATAATCAAATTCAGATTTTTTACTCTTAAATTCTGTGCTTTTTTACAAATTAAAATTCTCAAATACATGCATTTACATGTAAGAATATTTTTGAAATTCATATCATCAGTTTGTGATTAAAATAAAACATCAGCTAAATCACAAGAAAACTGACCAGTCAGCAAGGGCCCTGCTTCACTCACAAGACTAAGTAACTGACGGGAACATGATGTGGTGGAAAAAGTGGATGAATAGAAGAACATGCATATTTTCTGACCGAATGATTATAAAAGAGCCTTTATCCTAATTCATGTTTGACCCTAAATTTAGAAACATTTCCTGTAACCTACTCAGATTGACAGGTCTGTGCTTCACATTCTGTGTCTATCCACTGTGGTATCAGAGATTTCCACATGCTGACGGGTAGAAATGTGGTCAGCCTCGCTCTGGTGGACGTGTTATAGGAGGAGAAAAACTTCAGGCCGGTCAGGAGCTCTATGTCTCGCACTCTGGCTACATTGTCTGATAGATACTGGTCCTCAGTCTGAATAAGTGTATTTTGGTTTATCAGAACATGATAACTGGAATGCTCAGATTATGAATACCTTTTTGTTATAACCCAGAATTTTCAGTTTTCTCAATCACATTAACTCCATCAAAATGAGATGTGACCATAAAAATATATTATCAAAAATTGATTTAAATAACCATCAAAATATGAAATAAATTTGTTCTATAACTTTCATCCAACTTTTTTTTTTAGTTTAATTGAATACATTAAAACTCCTGCTTTTAAATTCCATATCTTACAGTAATTTTTCTAAATTGAAAATTTGAGTGGCTTTGATGAGAATGAATACTTACCAGACAGTTTGGAATGTTGTCCACATGAGGAAGAATGAAGGATAACACATCAAAATCATCTCCACAGGGGAACGCCTGGCTAGCATCCTTACACTTCACTATTATCATGTAGAAATGTGTGGGTAAAACTAGGCTGCTGTTACCTACATAGCTAAAAAGAGCAAACATTTTAGCTTTTAAGATTCAAGAACAAAATGTATGATAAAATAAAATGACAAAGTTTTCCCAGAAAGGGCTCATATTTTTTTTTCAAGATAAGTACAAGTTCTTTCTATTTTCCCTGATGAATAGTTTCATGATTTAAATTAAGAAAATCTGTGTCTTCCATGATTTTGGATAATTCAAACCCCCTCTAGTGCCAGAGTAAAACTATCATCAAAATAATGACAAATGAATTGATACTTCAGATGATATTTACTGCTGAGGTCTAAACATGCAGTACAGGTATACCTATAGTTTTGGTATTACCTGGATTTGTTGAATGATTTATCAGCCAATCCATCTGTATCATAGTCGTAGGCAGGCCCCACAGTTACACTGACGTTACTGTACTTCACAGAGTAACCATGTGCTAGCTTCCACGTCACATTCCAAATACCTGCAGCCAAAAAATTGTCATTAAGACTAGATCCTGTATCTTTAATTTACCTTAATCCTTAAACATGATCTGACTGTATATATAATTTCCAATTTAGGATTTTTGCTACATTCAAGTACATGCAGCTTTATACCTGATAAGAAGCCTTCATACATAGGAACAGCATTAGACTGGTAATGGATATTCTGATCACTTCCTGGTGAAACCACCTCTGCAATGAAATACACAAAGCTTTATAGAATGACTTCAGTGGGGCTTAGTCCTGCAAACTTAGAACTTAAATAAGTTAAACAAGAGGCCCATGGGCCTTATAGGTCACCTGAGCATTATGCAACAACTTTCCAGTGATTGAATTTGATTCATGTTTTAAGCCAGATGCTATGGCCTTCACAATTTTGAAAGAGGCACCATTGATCATCATGACAATACACTTAGCAGTTGCTTAGTTTGTTTACTTAATACCCATATGCAGGGTAAGGGAACAAAAAATGCATTTCAACTAATCAGTAATATTCAGCAATAATCAGCAGTGCCCGTACCACACATGAACCCCTGACCCTTAGGCCTTGATATTTGATTAATACCATGGAGCAGATTTCAAACCATTCATTCATTTTCAGTATATAAGTACAGCCCCCCACCCATCTATGGTACCCCTGACCCAGGGGCCTTGAAATTCACAATTCTGGAAGATATGGGCCCTTGTCCAGCATAACTATATAGGTAGTTCATCTGCTTAATATCCTGGAGCAGAGAAGAAAATTTTCAAAGATTTAATGTATTTTCACTATATAATCAATAGAGCCCCGTCCTAACACCAGTACCCCTGACCCTGGGGCCATAAAATTCAAAAATTTGATAGAGGCACTCTTGCTCATCATAACTATGCACTTAGTTAGTTTATTTAATACCCAGGAGCAGAAAAGAAGATTTTCAAATATTTAATGTATTTTCACTATATAATCAATAGAGCCCCGTCCTAACACCAGTACCCCTGACCCTGGGGCCATAAAATTCAAAATTTTGATAGAGGCACTCTTGCTCATCATAACTATGCACTTAGTTAGTTTATTTAATACCCAGGAACAGAAAAGAAGATTTTCAAATATTTAATGTATTTTCACTATATAATCAATAGAGTCCCGCCCTAACACCAGAACCCCTGACCCTGGGGCCAAACAAATTCACAATTTTGGTAGAGGCACTCTTGCTCATCATAACTATGCACTTAGTTAGTTTATTTAATACCCAGGAGCAGAGAAGAAGATTTTCAGAGAATTCATGTATTTTCACTATATAATCAATAGAGCCCCGCCCTAACACTAGAACCCCTGACCCTGGGGCCATAAAATTCACAATTTTGGTAGAGGCACTCTTGCTCATCATAACTATGCACTTAGTTAGTTTATTTAATACCCAGAAGCAGAGAAGAAGATTTTCAGAGAATTCATGTATTTTCACTATATAATCTATAGAGCCCCGCCCTAACACTAGAACCCCTGACCCTGGGGCCATAAAATTCACAATTTTGCTAGAGGCACTCTTGCTCATCATAACTATGTACTTAGTTGGTTTATTTAATACCCAGAAGCAGAGAAGAAGATTTTCAAAGAATTCATGTATTTTCACTATATAATCAATAGAGCCCTGCCCTAACACTAGAACCCCTGACCCTGGGGCCATAAAATTCACAATTTTGGTAGAGGCACTCTTGCTCATCATAACTATGCACTTAGTTAGTTTATTTAATACCCAGGAGCAGAGAAGAAGATTTTCAAAGAATTCATGTATTTTCACTATATAATCAATAGAGCCTCGCCCTAACACTAGAACCCCTGACCCTGGGGCCATAAAATTCACAATTTTGCTAGAGGCACTCTTGCTCATCATAACTATGCACTTAGTTAGTTTATTTAATACCCAGAAGCAGAGAAGAAGATTTTCAAAGAATTCATGTATTTTCACTATATAATCAATAGAGCCCCACCCTAACACCAGAACCCCTGACCCTGGGGCCATAAAATTCACAATTTTGGTAGTGGCACTCTTGCTCATCATAACTATGTGCTTAGTTGGTTTATTTAATTAATACCCAGGAGCAGAGAAGAAGATTTTCAAAGAAATAATGCATTTTCACTACCTACTTATTTAGCCCCGCCCTAGCACTAGAACCCCTGACCCCAGGGCCATGAATTTCACAATTTTGGTAGAGGACTCATGGCTGATTACAATCATGCAAACAGTTTGACTGCTTGATGTCCAGTTGTAAAGAAGAAGATTTTTAAAGATTGCATTTATTTTAGTGGTTTTGGCCCCACCCCTCAGGCCCCAGGGGGGCAGGGATCATGAAATTCACAATTTTTGTTCCCCTTCACCCATAGATGCTTTAGGCCAAATTTGGTTGAAATTGGTTCAGTGGTTGCAGAGAAGAAGCTGAAAATGTTCAAATGTTAATGCACAACGCACGACGACGGACGAAAACAGATAGCAATAGGTCACCTGAGTTTACTCAGGTGACCTAATAATGAAACAAAATAATAAAAGATTAATACAGAAGCAATTCAAAAAAAAAAAAGAGAACATACCTGAGTCATACAGGAAGCCCATGATGATATTTCTGGAGTGATCTGTGTAGTCATTACATGAGGCCTGTTTAATTCTGGGATCATTTACCACACACACTGTCCTGTTTTCATTACTTCTGACCTTGAGGAAAGCATGATCAGTTCATATTATAAATTGATAAGAAATGTAGAGAAGAGTCTTAATAAAGATCTGGTCCTGTTCTTTTCTAAAATATCAAGTTTTTGTAGGAAATTAAAATGCTTGCTATTTTAATTGTTCAAATTCCATGCAGAAAGATCATAATGCAAGTTATTCAGAATAATGTAAGTTTGAGAGAGTGTTTTTGTAAACCTCTTGAAATAACTACCTTCTGTGGTACTAACATAACATTTGTCCAGGCTGGCATCTGGAGCTCCGAGTTAAAGCCTGTCACCATCCCCGTGTAATTCAGAACACAGAGACTCAGGTTTCCTGACCCCTCAGGCTCCCCCAGGGGTGAGGCCCACACAGGAGAGGAGGTCAAATGTTCAGACATCAGCTCACTCACTGTCTGGTTCTGAAATCAAAATACAGAAAAGTTCATTTAATGAATTTCCTACAATACACTTAGTTAAAACATAAGGAAAAGGTACTTTTGATTTCTCAAGAGATTAAATTTTTAATTTTGTATCCCATTTCATAATATTTGATTCCGAATATATTCTTTATTTTCATACAAATATTATGCACCATTTCTTTATAAAGAATTTTACTAGGTATTACCGGGTAAGTTATTTAGAAGTTGAAACACAGGGGCTCGTGTAGAGAAAATAAATCAGTTGAAAAAAATGAGTACCTCGGAGAAAAAAAAACACAAGGGAGGACGCCATTTTGGATACCACCTCGCTTCATCAGCTATTTTCTTGCTTAAATTGTTAAACTAGACATCAAGCCAGTTCATATCCCTTAATTAATGTTTTTTCTTGAAGGTCTTACTTGCAGTTTTAATCTTTCTTTGTTTACATTTACAGTCTTAGTCAATTTATCGCGTAAACATCCAAAATCGACAACTCCTTGGCTTCTGTAGAAAACGAAAGTATATGGCTTGTATGTCTAGTTTAACAATTTAAGCGAGAAACCAGCTGATGAAGCGAGGTGGTATCCAAAATGTGTTTTTTCCCTTGTGTTTTTTTTTTCTCCGAGGTACTCATTTTTTTCAACTGATTTATTTTCTCTACACGAGCCCCTGTGGTTGAAATGCACAATTTACCTTATGATTGACACACCCACAAACAGGGACCCACACATTGCTGGGGTTCCCGGACATCTGACAGTCCGGATCTGTCTCCGTGGGTGCTTCTCTCAGGGGCTGGGGGTTCCTCAGAATATGATGTAAGGATCCCATAGTCCCATTATTAGGAGCTGGGGAAATACCTAGTAACTCTGCAGAGAAGCAAAAAAGGGAACACATTGTTGACAATTAAAAATTGATCTGGAGATTCTTATATTAAAAGTAAAATCAATTCATAATCAGAAAGTTAAATTTCACATCTGAATCTTTCACTCCATACCAGACATCATGTTGTACAGCTCAATGTTTTCAAATGGTTCTATCTGCAGTTTTTCTTTAAAGCCTGGGCCGTGGGCTAGAAACAATGCCTAAAAGATAGGGGATGGTAAACTTCAAATCTTCACAGAGAAACATATGAAGTGGTAGCAAAATTCAACAGGACAGGTGAAATTTTGTGACATTAATGTCTTACTGTGCTAATTTTCATTGACACTCACATGCATTGATTTGTATAAGTTGTCCCACCCATGGTTTCCTCCAGAACAGAAAAAATAGGTCAAGCTTCAATTAAAGTATTAATATTAATACATTAAGTAAATATAGTTATTACTTTGCCTACAACAATTTTAAATACATAATACAGTGGAGCCTCATTTATCCGGACACTTTTGTTCCTAGTCAATTTGTGCGGATACATGAAGCGTCCGGATAAATGAATTACCAGTTAAACAAGATAAAATAACGTTTAAAAATTCCATTCAGATGAAAAATCGTCCGGAAACTGAAGTGTCCGGATATCTGAAGGTTCACTGTATTTATAATTTTAGATTATTTTTTTGTAAATTTAAACCAGCAATTTTTCATTAAAAAAATGGTTTTAATTGATGATGGCCCAGGTCTTTATTTTAAATTTGTTTCATTTACATGTATCTCCCAATAACAAACAAGTAATTTTTAAATTTGTATCTTGATAATGTATCATACTCAACAACCAATATAAATGAATACACATTTCTTTTTTACAATCATGCCAGGCTTTATAATCTGACTTTTTAATCTTTTCCCCTATCTATAACTCCCTTACTCAGTGACCAGCCATTGATCCTGCATGTCCAGTAGAATCTGCCCCATCCTCGGGTTGTTGTAGTAGTGGAACCTCTTAGGGATGGTCTCTCCTGTAAACACTTTCATCTTGGGGTGCTGACACATCATTTCTCCTACTACCTCCTGGACAGGTCTGGCTTAATAGAGAAAGTCTTCATTTACAAATATAAAAAAAAAACAGGTCTTGCTTATTTGAACTAAGTCATCATTTACATACAAAGAAGTAGGTCTGGTTTAATGAACAAAAAGATCATCATTTATGTAAACCTGTACATACACATAAAACCGTACAATGAATACTGCTAGGAGCATTATGTAGTTTTTCAGGCACACTGTATGTGAACATATTATGCCCAGGTAGTTGGTTTAAATAATTATAATTAGCAAAATTTCAATTAACAGTGAACTCTATATTTTAATTTAGATCAGAACAATCGATTTTCACATTCTCATATACATGTTTATCCTAAATTATTTTCTCAGGGAACACAAGGTTTGTGTGTGACTATACATGTAGTTATAATTAGAAACTCTTACTGTTGTTTTGATCATTTGGATATATCTTGTATTTAGAGACTTTGTGGAATTTTGTCTCCACTCTTCCAAATGTTCCACCAAAGATTGTTAAGTCCTTGATCATTTCTTTATCCATATAGTAGGGAAGCTTCACAACCTGAGAACAGCTTACATCATCCATCCCTGCAAAGAAAGATAGTTACAATTCTTAGGGTTCTTGTTTCTGACTCATGAAGAAATCAAATTCAATTTTTTCCTCTGGATTCAGCCTATTTCACTATTACCAAACAAACTTGCATTCTTACAATAGTGAGCAATACAGCACACATAAGTACACATCCCTAAAACTTTACCGTGGTCAGCGATGACGACAATGTTGACACAGTTGTGGAGTCCTTTGTGGTACAGCGTGTCCATTAATCGGGACAACATGTCATCTACATTCAGAAGCTGGTCACTAACCACCTGGCTCTCTGGTCCCCCCTGGTGCCCCGCGTGATCCGGCTGGTCAAAGTACAGAGTGATAAAATCCGGTTTTTCATCTTCTGGTAACGTCAACCATCTGATCACCTCCCAGACCCTCTCAGGGAAACCCACGGAACTGTTATATATCAGAAACAGGTCAAACAATTAAATTACTTATTACAAAAACAACAATAGGACTTGAAGGAGCTATATTTATATATACATTGTATCAATATTGTATTTTTTGGATATACGTGTAAAGATCAACCTCAATCTACAAGTTGTTAAATCAAACATTATGAAAGTTGGCCCAGTTACAATATTGATGGAGAATTGTTATAGCATGTAGTTTTCATGTTCATACTGAATGGTAAATTTGAAGGCAAAGTCCATTATTAAACACCTTTTAATGAAACCCAAAAGTGTGCGATACACTTGAGACTTATCCTGGCATCAATGTACCATGTAGTTGTAGATTACAGTATATGACTGAATACATACCCACTGTATGGCTTCCATATGTCTGGATAAACTCCTACAATTCAATTATAAAGAGAACCTTGATTAGTGTGTATAAAACTGCATGGACACAACTCTTTAAATATTGTCAGGTACATGAATATGCATTTGGATAATTGTGTTACATGTACATGTATCAGAGAAAAAGTGCATCATTAGATACATAATCCATTAATTTATTCACAATAGGGCACAAATTCATGACTTTGGTTCGTGAGGAATTAAAAAACTGTGTTAAACAAATATTCATTATAGTCATAACTGAAGTTGAACAATGTCTAATATAAACACAGCTACATTGTAAATCCTGAATGTATCTACATAAATTTACAGAGTAGTATACTGTACCTGAAATGTTGACATCAGACCCCGGCCAGAAGAATGTGGCCGTCTTCTTACTGTGTTTCTTGGCTGTTATCCAGAGCTAAATAAGTACAGTCTTACGTTATTATCTTGAACTTGATCAGACTATGATAATTGAAGAAACAAGATATTGAGGGTTAATTAAAACAAAAAGAAAAAGTCAACAGGACTGCAAAAACAGTTCCATATATCTAGATTTGAGATATCAGTGTCTGAGATATGAAAGTTCAACTGTTACAGATAACATATACATGTATATTAAATGCAATGTACATGTATATCATTCTAAATGTATAATGAAAGTATAGCACTATTTCAAACTGTAAGACTTTACATTATAGAATATTACTGTACTGAATTATTTGAAATTCGTTATAAAGTCTATTTTATTGGACATACCGGTTCTCCTCCCCACCATCGGGGGTCCCCCTTAGTCTTACTGGACAGTGTAAACACCTCCCCAATCTCTGAGTCATACATGTTGTTTGAAATAATACCATGAGACTCGGGGTACATGCCCTGTAGATAAACATACATAAATGAGTTAACTAAATTAAACCTAGTTCAGATATTTTACCATGATCTAAATAAAATCAGAGACCTATAGGCCCCAATGCTCACCTGAGTCACCTTCCCTTGCTATTTTTCATAACAGGTGCCAAATTCTACCTCCTGTGTCTCATTATTTGAACAAAATTCAATGTACATTTTAATATCTAAATTTTTGACTATGTATTGAGTTATCATGACCATGCCATTCTTTACCAAAAAAATTTTTTTCTTTGATTCTGCGGCCCCAACAAACACCAGAGAGCCATAAGTTGTTAAAAAAAGGACCTAAGGATGTTAATGTAATATTAAAGATATTTTAAGACACCAACCCTATCTATCTTTCCATATGTATGTACATTCCATTCCCTTCAAGAGGACTTCATTTGAATCCCCTACACCCAAAAATGCTTAATACTGACCAAGGGTTTCAGGAGAATGTTAAAAATGCAAGTTTACAGATAGACAGATTGATAGACATTAAGACAGGTGGACATCAGATCAAATGGTCAGAAATGAATATCATTGACAGCATTCACATGTAAGAGGGCAGGGGAAATTTTACAGCAGAATTTGGTATCAAACCTAGGATATCTGCAATACTAGTCAGGTGTTCTAATCAAAGTCTAATCAAAGTCTAACTCTATAAACCATAACGTATATTTTGATTGATAACTTTGACCAGCTGTTGCTATTGACATACCGTGACAATGGCGTAGCTGTTGCTATTGACATACTGTGACAATGGTGTAGCTGTTGCTATTGACATACTGTGACAATGGTGTAGCTGTTGTTATTGACATACCGTGACAATGGTGTAGTGGTTAGGGAAGGTCACTGTAGGGTACACAGATCTCATGTAGGGGGTGTGGACTCCACACTCCCTCATCTTCTGGATGACAGGGGTCAGCTTCTGCTTTAAGTAATCAGCTCGGAACCCATCCAGTGAAATTAGTAAAAGTGGAACTTTCCTGCAATAGGTTAACATCCATCACCCTACTGCACTGTTTAAGGTCAAGCATTTTTTTAAGATATAAAATTTTTGTTCCATAAATGTTTTAAGCCTTATTCAACTCCTTTTTACTTTTTTTTTTTATTTCCTACTAAATTAAAAGAATAGCTAATTACCCAGGACAAGTGTTCTGGCTTTTGTCTTCACAAGGGAGGTCACTCCATTTGTAGGAGATATTTTGCAGTGGCCAGAGTGACGTGGGGAGGAAGGTCCGAGGACGAGCTGAGGTCCGCTCCTCAAAATCAGTCAGGAACCTCAACCCTGTCAACAGCTCAATGTCTCGGATTCTTGCTACGTTCTGACGTAAATATTCCTCCTCTGGCTTAAATGTATTAAAAAGATAAGAACAGCCTTCTTTAAATATTGTTTTGATTGCAATGTCTTTTTACACATCTATGTAAATAAAAATGTAAAACTACAGTTTATACTTGTAAGATTAGATAAAAAATTAATTCAAAATATATTTCTTAATGATTTACCACACAGTTTGGAACTGACTGTAAGTTAGGTAGAATAAAGGACATGATGTCTAGATTCTGTACAGGGCAGCTGGTCACTGAGGAATGATGGGAAGGGTCTGAACAGCGAATCAGGACAACGTAGAAATGGGTGGGAAGGGGTATCTTCTGAGTGCCAATGTCAACATATCTAACAATAGGGATTACCAGGAATTCACACCATGTAGCAAAGGGAATTTTATTTTTTGTAAGTTTAAACATAATTATGATCTTATGGGATGTAATAAAATGAAATACATGTATAATGAATCAACAGTGTTCATCCCTGGCACTTTGCTATATGTATATTTCATAGTATATGCAATTCTTCTGACATAACAAATGGCAAACATTAAATGAATTGAAAGTATACTACAATTCATGATATTGTGACAATTGATTAAAAGATTAAAAAGCATGTAATTACAAAAAAGCAATCAAGCCTGTAAATTCTTGAGAGACTTACTTTGTTTGAGCAGTCAGTCCTTCATACAGACCGTCCTTGTTATAATCAAAGGCGGGTCCTACTGTCACACTGAGGTCACCTGGCTGTCCCGCAAAATCTGAGAGTATCCTCCACAGGTAAGCCCAAATCCCCGACTTAAATCCCTGGTACATGGGCACAATGTTAGAGCTGAAGCTAGGCTCAGTGTTACTGTTGTCTGATTTAAATCCATCATTGAACAGTGAAGCAAATGTCACGTTATCATTCTCGTAGTCAGAGCACGGAAAACTGCTGTTTGTGGGAATTCTTCCATCAGTGATGATGCAGGTGTCCTTCATATTTAAATTCTGTAACAGGATTCTTTTTTATTTATTACTTACAAGACACATAACCTGAAAAATAGTTGACACTACTAGAATGAAATTCAATGTTAAAACAGAGAAACAAGATTTTAAAAGTTTGAATCTAGTCATTAAAAATTTTAAACATATGTATAAAGAAATCAATCCCCCCCCTTATTTTAAACAGTCAGTTCTGCCTCCTCATCTAGGTACTTTGGAAACTTTCATTTTGAAATGTTTCTTTTCTACTGGGAGAATTTAGGACAATGGATAGAGATAGAGAAATATACATGTATCATGTGTAGGTGAGCTATCAGTGGATATACCTGACCGTCCTTCAGGACGTAGGAGTTCCATGCTGGCATGTTAAACTTGTGACTGTAAGCTGTGGAGTACTCTGTGTTGTGTAGAACACAGGCCTCTAGATCACTGGTCTGTTGTATAACGCCAAAGGGCAGGGACTGGCTACCATCAGCCGAGGGGTACACAACAGGGGAACTCTGAAAAGATAATACAGTGTTAACTAAAGTTGGAACTTGTACATACATGTACAACCAATTCTTTTGAGCTTCCTTCTATTTACCATGCTTCAAGAATTAAAGGAAATAATAATTTGAAATATTTGCAGCAATTAATATTTAAGCAGATGTGTTCTTAAGAATCATCACTCATCATGGAGGACTGATTTCATTGATTGCCATTATGATGATGTACCACATAACCACTACAGTTCTGATAATGTATAAATTACCACCTACCGTGTTACAGTTACAGTTTCTCTGTGGGGCGGACACCCTCCCTGTGGGGGTGGGACAGTTCCTGTAGCTGACTGTGGGGGTGACTTGTAGAGCTGGGGGTCTGTACAACAGGTCATGAAGAGCCCCCGGGGTTCCATTGTTAGGGGCTGGACTTATCCCAATTAAATCTTTAAAAAATCCTTGTAAATTATTTTATTAACAAATTGATGACATAAGATACTAATCAACATATTTTCACATCAACTTTGATGATATTTTAAAGTCTAGTGATGCCAATTTTCTACCTGCTTTATGTCAAAATACCTGACATAAGATTGTACAACTCAATATTCTCAAAAGGCTGGGAGCTGTAATTCTGTTTGAAGCCCGGGCCATGGGCCAAGAACAAAGCCTGAAAATGGTAGAATGGTGATACATTAATTTTTTTAAGATTTGAAAGACTGCACCCCATAAAACTGACTAAGTCTTATTTAGAAAAACATAATTTTCTCATACAAACCTGCATGCTTTTGTATAAGTTATCAAATCCATGGTTTCCCTCTAAACAGTAGGTATGTTTATCTCTGAAATGTATGATATCACAGATAAACCAGTCTGAAACAATATGATTCTGTGTTCTAAATAGTATTGGAAACTAATTCATCTTCACTTTTAGTAAACCTGTCCCAGACTTATACATGTACATGTTAATACAAAGAACACAAATTATAATTGATGATCCACATTTAACTACTATAAAACAAATGTTGAGAAATATTGTTACCCTTCAGTATATATAATTTGATCAAAATAAAATAAGTTTGCTGATATTCACATGTTCTGTAGACTTCAAATAATTATCCAAATATTTTAAATGTTGTATTGATCATTAAAAGTGCTTTCAAACTTAGCTAATGGACACTCCTTTGCTTTTACACTCTGTTCTCTTACTTAGCTACCATCCATTTCGCCTGTACATCCACGACAATATCTCCAATCCTCTTGTTGTTTGCATAATGGTGTCTGACGGGGATGTCCGACTTTGTAAACATTTGAAGATGTCCGCTCTTACACGACAACTTGTTCATCACTTCCTCTACAGATGATGCTGGGGGCGAAAAAGCATCACGCATGTAGATACATATTACTGAATTAGAAGGAAGGTATATCTTTATTCAAATCTTGCTTTAACATTCAACTTCTCTAAATACTTACAGTTTTTCCTTTTTTTCACCACCTTTTTCTCTTCGTAGAAGTCTTTGTGTATACTGCCGATCGTCCCATCAAAAATGAGGTAATCTTTTGTGTTCATGTAGTTATTTAGAAACACTCTTCGAGAGCATGCAGTCTTCTCCATTCCTAAAAAGCAGTAGTGGTAAATTATAAACCAGATAAACATTATCAAGATTTTAAACTTTCACCACTTTGTAGAGATACTATATTGTATCTAGATTTTAACGTGATCTGCCAGCATAAATTATTAAGATTTTAAACTTTCACCACTTGGTAGAGACACTATACAGTATCTAGATTTTACTGTGATCTGCCAGTATACTTAGATTAACACAGTCGTGGATCTATATTGTATCTAAATTTTAACGTGATCTGCCAGTATACCGGTAATTAGATTAACACAGTCGTGGATCTATATTGTATCTAGATTTTACCGTGATCTGCCAGTATGATTAGATTAACACAGTTGTGGATCTGCCTTCTGTATAACCCATTCATCAGACGAGAGACTATACTGTCCATCTTTCCCAGCATTTCATTCACCTTAAAAAAAATGACATACCTTACACTTAGAAATCATGATACATACACATCTAAAAATAACAACATACCAAGATAATTTTTTAACAAGTGGGTGTAAAAAGAGGAGTAGGCCATAAATAACTTGTTTGTCTCTATCAATATCAGAAAGGCAATGTTGGCATGATTGTAATAATCAACGAACCCTCTACCATATTTTGAAATTCATGACCCAAAGGTCGGGGTTCAGGAGTAGGAGAGGGGCTCTATTGATCATACAGTAAATAAGAGGCAAAGGGCCACAATGCTCATTTGAGTCACTATAGCCCTAATACTATTCCTCATCAGCAGATTTTCATCCCATAGATATATGCCTAAAATAATTAAGGATGCTCTAAACACTGCACACTAAAGAGCTCTATTTATTGGGTAGTTTTATGCAGTTAGAGTGGTCTGCCCTTAGATGTAAGATTAAGGAAATTGTTATTTACCGTTAATTACATAATTCATAATACATGTAGATTAGAATATTTTTAGCATTATATAAGACCAAGAGTAAGAAATTTAATTAATTATTTTCGTTAATTTTCCCAATGTAGGTAAACAACAGTGATTTTTGTTAAGAAATAGTCCATTGTCTTTGAACATTTTTCAAGGCACGTACCCTATGTTCTAAATGAACGAAAAAGTCTCAACATGCATATCTTTATTTATTGTTTTTTTGACTCTGAGAAAAATATATCATGATATATTTTTCTCAGAGTTGAAAAAACATTTTCTCTCAGTGTTTAGAGCTTCCTTAAATACCAAAAAAGAGAAACTCATCTAATCCAACATGTAATGGAACACTTATTATGTACTGGAATGAACAGGGTGTTGTTATATGCGATGTAAAATGGAGAACAGAAAAGTGAGACTTAAAATGAAGATTGGAATTCACAGTAAAATGGATCACACAATTGTGGGATAAGACAGTTTTTACTGTACCTCTACACATGCTAGATTTAAGATAAAAATCACCAAAAAAATCCTGATTAGTGTTAAATCTTAATACAACAAACCTCTGGTCCGTCCGGTCCTACTTCATGCCCTGTGTGGTCAGGTTCATCAAAGTACAGTGTGACAAAGTCTGGTCGGTCACTAGTGGTCATACTAAGCCAGTCCAGGACGGTGTCCACTCTCTCCTCGTATAATATCTTCCTAAATGACAAGTTAACAATTCTCAGTACTTTTCTGTGGGAAGTTTTTGATCTTTTAATTCTATTTTGAATGGTTGCTATCTCCAGAAATGACTTACCCATCATAAGGTTTCCAGATATCTGGGTAATATCCACTAATGTTGACATCAGCTCCAACCCAGAAGAAAGATGCACTCTTTTTCCCTTGTTTGTGAGCTGTTATCCACAACTGTTTTTAATAAACATCTAATTATAATAAATTCAAATTTTAATCAAAATCACTACCTAACATTAAATATGACTAGAAATTTACGAATATATTAAATTTTACGGAAGTCAGGAGAGTGATTATCGGTGATCCTTTAGAACTTGATTTGAGGGATTATCAAAAAATGTGTATAGACTTGTGCAATAAAATTATCTGAATTTGTCAGTTCTTTGAGATCTTATCATAAATTAAATAAAGACTTAAAAAGGTTTGAACAGGCCAGACAAAATGTTGAATTCATATATTCAGTGTCACTATTTAAGTGAATTACATGTATGACACCCTCAGATGTCTGTAATACCATCATAAATCCATAACCTATAGAGAGTGCCCTTCTTAAATTTGTACTCACCGGCTCCCCGCCCCACCACTCAGGGTTACTCTTGGCATCTGTGTAGATGTGGAAGGTGTCGTTTATTTTTTCATCGTACATATTGTTGTCCACAATCCCATGAGATTCAGGATACAGCCCCTAAATTCAAATCAACATCAAAATAAGCAATGCCATTCAATCATACATCTGTGTACCTAATTTCAAAATGAACCTTAGACTGATTTAGGATGCAGTGTAGAAATGATATGCAATATGTTTCAAATAATTTTAAAGGAATTCCTCTTCTGACATTGAAATTATGACTAAGTATAAAGTTGTACAAAAAAGTTAAGCTAGACATACAGTGACGATGCTGTAATGGTTTGGAAATGTCAGTGTTGGATACACAGATCTCATGTATGGAGTATGTACACCACAATGGCTGAGCTTCTGTAAAGTGGGTGTCAGGTTCCTGGTCAGGTAATCTGCTCGGAAGCCATCCAAAGACACAAGCAGCAGAGGAGGGGTGCTGAAAACAGCAAATATCTCTATTATTAATCATCATATAGGGTGTACTGTAAAGGAAATTCTTTTTCAGATAAATGTTCATAGCAAAGTGGTTCTTAAATTTATTTAGGCATTTGCTAGTGAGACAACTTGGTTAGGCATTGATAATTTATATGGATAAAAGTAAGTTTTGTGTTAGTATTTAGAAATAAGAATTGATTAACCCAGAAGTTTTATATTTCCAGCAGAGTAACGTACATGTACATCATACATATACATGGTATATAAAGGTATTTAAATCTGCTCTCCTTTTTTTTTTTTTTTTTTGGAACAGACTAAAAACCCTTTGTTTTCAAAATGTACAAAAGTCATATTTCTCTGATTATTTTATTTAAACATTATCAATTCAAAGTATTCCATGACTGACTTTTAATTCAGTTATTATCAATTCAATATACATGTATTCCATGACAAACCATACCTCCATGGGCATGTATTTTGTGTGGAATCATGCGGCAGACAGGGTTCGTCTATCCAGTTTTTTCCCGTGTCTGTTGTTGTGAGTTTGCCTGGTGAAGTGGTCAGCTTATCTGGTGAAGTGATCAGCTTATCTGGTGATGTGGATTGAGTGGTGGACACAGTGGGCGGAGGAGTGAACGTGGAGGTTGGAATAGGTGTGGTGGTAGAGCCATGGAGTTCATCTTTATCAGACTCTTCATTATCACTGTCTTTCTTTCTGAGTCCTATTCCTAACCCAATACCAAGACTGACAGCTATTCCAAGTATCAGCTAAAAAAATACAATACAACAAAGGTTCAATCACTCAGACACTACATTAAAGGTTTTTTTTCTATCAGTGTTTAGGCTTAAAACTCACCATAAAATATTTTATAAACCAGAACTGCAGAATGTAGGTTTGTCAGCCCTGCCAAATATTTAAAAGGTTGAGAAAAAAAAAACTTTTCTTTTTTTCTTTTTACATTGTAACTCTATGACGTAACGTAAATAACGTTAGTCAAAAAAGGAGGGAAGTAGAGCAGTTGCATCCCTTAATTTGCCAATTTCTAAAACTAAGTCCATCCTGTATGTATTTTGGTCGTTTAAACGAGGTACTGAAGCTAGAGAATGAAATCTTTGATATATCTTATCATGTGCCAATATGTGGCCACCAGCTGGTTATCCAACAAGTTTACCGTGAATCAAATCAAAACTTGAAAGCAATAAAATAAAATCCACCAGCTAAATACTACTCAATATTACTCATGCAGAATATAATTCCATTAATGCCTTCAAAATATATGTTCTTTATTTTCAAAGACATAATATTAAACTGAAAGATTATTATTAAACTGATATAAAAATCATAATATTGCACAACCGACTTCACTTTCTCACTTCAAAATTACCTCCCTCCTTACAGCACAAGCAGGATATACCATAGGCGCGAAAATTACAAACAAAAACGAACAAATACTATGTTTCCGATATACTCTCTCTCTCTCTCTCTCTCTCTCTCTCTCTCTCTCTCTCTCTCTCTCTCTCTCTCTCTCTCTCATATAACTTACAATTACAGCTGTGATGATATACCGTGACCGCTTTTTCCGTCTGGCACGGTCACCCTCGAATAACTTAGAAAAAAAAGAATATCATGATATTAATTTAGCACAACTCCGAAGGTGTAAAATAATTTTTAAAAAAAGAAGAAGAAAAAAAGAAAAAGAAGGAAAATTTTTGTCTAGGTTTTTTCCCCCAAATATTCCCTGTTATTTAAAATAGGGTTTAAAGATGTGAACTTTTATTTTTTTTAAATAAAAGTTGCTCTTTCCTTATTAAAAAAAAATTAGACATTTTACGACTGAAATTTTTATCTTTCACAATCTGCAACCCTTTTAAAGCTCGTTCCCAGAACGACCAGTATATATGTACCTCAGTAGTGGACGCATAGTTGGTTTGAGAGGCTTCGCCGTCAGAGTCCTGAAAAGTCGAAATGATATTTTATGACCAGAATAAAAAATAATTTGTCATGATAATTAAGGCCCATAGGCGTCGGGGTTAACCGGGGGGGGGGCTTAGCCCCCCCTCCACTTTTTTTTACTGCACCTCAAGTCCAACTGAGGATGAATTGCATTTTTTGCTAGAATGTTCACTTTATAATGACTCAAGAAGAGAGTTTTTAGATAAAATCTTTAAAACCTTTCCTAATTTGATACTGCTTAACAATGTTGACCTGTTTACATGGATTATGTCAAATGAAGATTCTGAGTTTGTTGTTTTATTATGCCAACTTTTAAATGCAAATTTTAATAAGAGAAAACAACATAGTTCAATATAGGCATATTGCAGATATTATACATAGGCCACTTATAATGTACATTCTATACATCCTAAAAGAAGATAACTAACTCTCAGTTCATTATACAATGTTTGTTTTGTTCTGTTTTGTATATGTATAACTGTGATGATTTTGGACACTGTTCTGTATGCTCCACTGTGGGCCCAAATTGGTTGAATAAAAATATTCTATACTTAGTATAGACATTGAACATTGTTGCGTAGGTTTAGCCCCCCCCCCCCCACACACACACACACTTTGCACAGAGAAGTCGCAGTATAGGTTAAAATTGAGGGAAGTGGTGGTATTCGAAAAAAAATAAAAAAATTGTGGTACTGAAGATAGAAACCCCCTCCCCCCACCTCCCCCCCCCCCCCCCACCCCCCCCCCCACCCCACCCCACCCCCGAAATTGGAATTTTTTTTTTTTTTTTTTTTGCTTGTCAGTTTTTTTTTTTTGGGAAGGTATAATTTTTTTTTTCACTTAGCCCCCCCCCACTTTCAATTTGCTTCCGACGCCAATGAGGCCTCTTCCTTGTGTCAAGGATCTGTGATCTTGTTCCTGTTTGTGTAGTGGGCACCCTGAAGACATTAACATATGTGATGGGGATGTAAAATTTATTTTCATTTCAATATTGTTATATTCAAAAGTATGGGATAGATGTACTCAACATTAGGACATACATGTACATGTATAGTCTAACATCCGCTAATCTCCGGATACAAACCCATAATAAACAATCAACACTTTATGTAAGTGTGTCCAATGTGCAGTGCATGCAGTTCATGATTAACTAATTTTCAATTTAAATCGTGCACAAATCGTTCTTAAAAAAAAAAAAATATGGGCGCACTAAGCAGAAATTTTTAGCAATTTTTATGCCCCCTCCGGATCGAAAGATCCCAGAGAACTTTAACATACCCCATAACTATTGAATGGGGGCTTTCATATTTCACAAGTTTTTGGGTACCATCGAATTTGACCTCTTGACCATGGAATTTGACCTACTTTTACAAAATACAACACTTTAACACTGACCATAATTTTTGACACTTGGAGCTAGGGCTTTCATACTTCAGAATTGTATTTATTGTAACAAGACTTCAGCTTGTACAAGTATTTTTGACCTTGACCTAAGAAAAGCCACTTTATTTTTGGTCATAACTTATGAAAAATAGAACTAAGGCTTTTATATTTCACATGTGTATTCCTTGTATTAAGACCTTTCTTTGGGTACCACGACTTTTTACCTTGACCTTTGATCTTTGACTTGTTTTTGAGAGGATTCGACCCTCACCATAAGCTGCCATATGGGGCATCAGTGTTTCACAAACACATCTTGTTATTCATCATATATAAACATGCATCTTAATTTTTTCTGTTAAAATATAGACAAAAAAAAAAGATTTTAGCGATTTTGAAGGTAAATGTGATAATATTTTATGGATTGAAAAAAATTAGATTTCGCCTGAATATAGTTTACATGAAGTGATATTGACTTTATTATTCAGTATAATTATTTGCTGTTTTATAAGCAAGATCTCAATTACTATATGTTTATGCGCAAAATCATACAAGCGTGTCTCACGCGATGCTTGACATATATAGGACGTGCATATCGGCGTCTTTTATGCAAGATTTACCGTTTAATATCGAAAATAAGTTGAATTATGTTAAGTAGATATATTTTCTGGGTTTTAGCTTTCCTAGGTAAATTATGGTAAGTTTTGATTATTGTATTTATGTGTAACCCTCCTAACTTACCTGTATGAAATTGTAGTAACGTGCCATTCTCACTTAAACCAGACAAACTCCGTTCACAATTTAAAACCATGTCATTTTCCGTCACATTCAGTACAGTTTGTGTGATTTCTGCGGTCTAGTATAAATTTGTACACTTCACACAAATAATGTACAACAGTCAAATTATTATTATTTATTATATACAGAGCATTACATGTACATCCTGTTTGATTATACCTTGTACTAGTATCTAAATTCTATCTATAGTTCTTTCATTTGAATTCCGTGTGACAAGACATTTTCTTTGAGAGCAACATTTCTTACCTCCTGTCTTGATCTTGGAGTGTGACCTACTTTTCAAAAATTTAAATCATGGCACAACATGTATCTTTTGAATTACTGGTACTAGAGCTTTCACATATGTATACCTTGTATTCCCTTGGAAAAGATCTGCGTAATAACCAACATTTGCTAACTTTTAACTTTAATGTTGAAAAACACCCTTTAATTTTGACTTGAGCTATCATACGGTTGTATCAGTGCTTTACAAGCACTTGTTCTTTATTCGAGTTTTTTAACTTGGAGGTACATTATTAGCTAACACAAAAAATGTTGAAGAAAAACACCAATCTACCCAAATATTTTTGTCACTAAAAAGAGCTCTTTTTTCAAAAGACATTGAAAGGAAATTTAAGAGGTGCCTTAGAAAAAGATATCTTCCTCTAATCAGACGATATATCGATAAGTATTAACCACTGGCCTGTACTGCATTAGTTTGATTATTCTTGATCGTTCTCTTAACAGTTGCGAGGAGAAACTGCTGTCACACGGGTATTTAAAATATATTGCAGGTCTGTTTCTAACCAAGTCCCCCACACGGTAAAATTATGTCATGCTATCTTCGTTCAGAAGAAAAACAAACTTAATGTTTCATAAAGATAGAGCCATTTGAAAGAAAATGTACCCTCCCCCTCCCCTCTCAAAAAAAATTGAGGACCCGAAACTGCTTAAGTAAAGATAGAGCAGTATTATTTTTATTTTGAGCAGACTTTTAAAAAATGCCAATCATTCTTCACATTTTCAACCTGGGACATGGACCCATGGTCATCTATAAATACTTCACAGTTCCTTTCCACTGATGCCCAGTGATGCCGTATGATAAACATAGTGCGGCGCTTTGAAGGAGTAAAATATTCCCTGCCGACATGTTACACCCGCTCTGACCCCTATTTATTGATCAGGTATAAAAATATAGAACTAACAATTCGTATGAAAAAGTCAAAATACGATCTAATGATAGGTAAAACATGCATTACTAACAAGGTCATTATAACAACGATATAATTTACGATATGCCGCCTTTAAATGAGATTGTTGAAATCCCTGTAACTTCAACTTATCTTCAGAAGCCTGCCTTGTTTTATAAATTGATAAGACCGCAGAACAGTAACTGGCAAGATTGGAAATATGCAGCTTAGGTCATTTCTATCTGTTACAATCAAAACATTCAATGATAGACAATGAAATGTGCGGGTACAATTCGACGCGAACGCCGGAAAAACACTGGATTGAAATCCGAGTTTCAAACAAAGTACGTTATAAACATTCACAATGCATTAGCAAGAATGATTCTATGGACAATAATTATGTGGCATATTTCTATTGGCCTCTGTTTAAACATTTTTTTTCATTTTAGACGATCTTGGTAAGATTACTGATGGTTATGAAATGGACCAATATATTTTTTTTACTAGCCTAAAAAGTACAAACAAAAATGGTACATGAGAAGGTGCTTTCGGTTAAATGGTTCATATCTTTGCTTCAACATGTTGGTCATTTTAGTTTAGGGACATTAGCCAATAAAGGTTCGGTCAAGGTAAGTAGTTGATGTTTTCCGAGGAAAACTCTTCCATCTGACAGAAACAAAGGCATTTAACGTTTTAAAACATGTCCATTTTCTTAAATGATGAAAAAATCTCTACGTTACTTTAAAAATGTTGCAATTTTAATGTTATCTTGTAACGTACCCTCCCAATACTAACAAAAATGATATAAATACTAGACTAATTAAGTATATACTTAAAATTTATTTCAACCCCCTTTGCCACAAGCATATGTAAAAAAAAAAAATACAAATTTACTATCTTCCTTTGCATCGAAAAGGACTCTTGATTGTAAAAAGCGTTTCTATTTTCTTTTAAATTTAAAACTAATATAAACTGCACAAATACAAAACTACGTACCTGTAAAACGAAGTCATATTTGCTACTCGACATACTTCAAGATATACAATATCCCATCCACAGTAGTCTATGCACCCGTCTTATCTGGGGATAAATTCGTGTAACAACGCACTTAGTCGAAATTCCACGATCATCGAGTACCGCCGCCATCGCTTAAAGTAGAACTAGCAGCACAAGGCCCAAGTTCAAAGATGTTTCTACTACCTTAATTTTTATTTTTCAGTTTTTGATATTATGCAGTCAGGATTAATCTTCTTTTTAAAATTCTGACTTATCTGCCTTCCTTATCACATCCTTAATTTTAAGGAGGGTTAAGAAAAGATTGTTTATATAAAAATATGAGAAGGTGCAGATATCATTTAAAGGCAAAAGTGACGCAAACATTTCCCCCCAAAAAGCTCTTCTTAGCATATGTACAAGAGTTATTTCAATTGAATTTCATTTTGGTGACCACTGGTTACTTTTATTAAAAGAACATGCTGGATGTTTTCAATCATCTGTGACACATGCAGTTATTGATCAGGCAGGTGAATAATATATACGTCATGTATATTGTACGTCCCACAAAACTCCGAAAGAATCTCTCATATCCAATTTTTATTTTAATATTGCAAATACAGAGGAAAAGAAACCAACTTTCATAGTAGTTGTTACAACTTGTCCTATACTTCAACGACGCGCTATGCATGCATTGTAAAATTTAATTACTTTTACTATAAAACACTGATGAATGGGTTTTTAATGACTTTTATCCCTCTTTTAGACAGGTAGACAAATTTGTTTTCCATACACTTGTGCCACCACTTGCTGTATAATTTATTGCAGTCTTCTAAAATTGAATGCTGCATTATATTACATGATGAAGAAAGTTCTTCAAACACCACTAGTGCACTGTTAGGACTGAGCATGCGCAGATGTCTAATGGTTCCATACTGGGAGAGGACAGCCATAAGATCTGGGAGAGTATAATCGTTCATGTCTTTTCTTCGCTGCCACCTCACAATAATGGTTGAGTAAGGAAGTTGCAATCGTTTGTTTGTAATATCCTGTTTGATCAAGCTGTTGGATATAAAAAAGGGTGAAAATGTGTTGCATTGTTTAAATTTATTATTTTGAACAAAAATCTTTTGTGTTCCTACATATTACCTGATTACCTTGACATACCTTGGAGGGTTTAGGTAGGCATCATGCCGCTTGTTTCGTTGTTGTGTTGTGTACATTAAAGCGTCCCTAATGCACCTGTTCATATTTTCATGACACATACATCCGGGACTCTGGCTGCTGTGTTTGTTTTCTGTAAAAAAGTAAATGGTATTGCAAATATTTACATATTAAGCTTTATCAATAAAGAATTGTACTTGTGGTCTATTTCCTATGATACTTCATTGATTGGTAATTCAGGAACAAGAATGTGAAATGGTTTATGAATAAAACAAACTAGAGGTACTGTGAGTGCTCACTAAATAATACCCCGCCTCACAAATGATTATAGTAACGAAGGGACCCGAAATAAGTAAGGTACACAATGCCATTATGTCATAAAGAATCTATGAAAGTATCTTCGAATTTTATTCAGTGGTGTAGGATCGGAGGAGTTGCGGATAAGAGATGGGTACCCTTCAATATTGTAGAAAGATTGATTGATTGTATACTGTTTATAACGTCCCTCTCCAGAATATTTCAC